CATAGCTGTTGTGCTATCATGCTGGGTCCTGATACACTTTTTTTTTTTTTAAGATTTATTTATTTTTATTGGATAGATTTACAGAGAGGAGTGACAGAGAGAAAGGCCTTCCACCTGCTAGTTCACAGCTCAAGTAGACATAATGGCAAGACCTGAGCTGATCTGAAGCTAGGAGCCAGGAGCCAGGAGCCAGGAGCCAGGAGCCAGGAGCCAGGAGCCAGGAGCTAGGAGCCAAGGGCCAGGAGCCAGGAGCTTCTTCTGAGTCTCCGTTGTGGGTACAGGTGTCCGTGGCTTTGGGCCATGCTCTACTGCTTTCCCAGGCCATAAGCAGGAAGCTGGATGAAGTGGATCAGCTGGAACACAAACCAGTGCCCATATGGCAGTTTATAAGGTGTGGATTTAGCTACTAGGTTATTGTGCCAGGCCCTGTACATTTGTTTTTATATGGAAATACCATGAAAAGTTTTATTTGGAAATACATGTTTTAGTAGCTATTTCTATGTGAAAGCTGGATTTTTTTTTTAAAAAAGTAAAAACAGTGTGATTCCAGCAGATGTCACTGTTTGCATGTAGCAATGAGGTTACAATGAGTTAAAAAAAAAAAACCCTATAGTTCCCTCTTTCTAGTCATATTTTATAAAAAAAAAAAAAGAAAAAGACATGGATTCCTTGTTTTGTTGAGACCATATTCCCTGATTTTTACAAAGCATAAAAACTATTCATATGTCTTTGCTGCAGATTTTAAAGAAAAAAGAATGATACGAGGCTAAAGACTATCTGGAGATAAACATTCTCAAGAAAATAAACTCCTGAATTTTTTATCCAAACCTATGAGTCCGCATTTTAAACTGAATTGCCCCCACAAGAAAAGCAATGATGGCTAATTGAGAACATGCCATTGCAGTTAAGTTTTATTTTAGTGACACTTTTGTAGGTGAGAACACATAAAATTTCTGGCTTTTGTTAAGCCAGCATGAACCATGCATAACAGAGAAGAGGGGTCAGTGGCTTTCCCTTTGTTGTGAGATAGGCATTAGTCTGTTCATGACCTGAACACTCGCTGTCATGCTGTGTCTGTCAGTGTTGCCTCCCATATCCAGCGGCTAGTTTGGGACTAAGTCTTGATTTTTAACTTCATTTCAAAGACTCACTCTACTTACTATGTTAGAATTTCTAGACTTCCCTGTGGGTAAGGACCACTTAAGGGGGTTTGATAAGTATAACAATTCCAAGCCTCCATTCCAAACCTATGGAATTCAAATCTCCAGATAAGGTGTTTGGGAAGCTATGCATTTGGTAAGCACCCCGGGATATTTTTGCAAGCAGGCTGTATGAAGAAAGATCACAGCACACCAGTGATTCTCGAATCTCTGTGCACATCAGGATCACGCAAGGGCTGGTGAAAACACAGCTCGGGCTTCTGACTTATTCAATCTGTGCTGGGCTCAACAATTTGTGTTTCTAGCAATTCTTAGGTGATGCCTGTGTTGCTGCTTAAGAAACAGGTGTTGAAAAGCATTGCTGTATCTAATGCCGATACCTGGTTCTCAGTTCCCAGTTGCGGGTCTGCAGTTGTCCTTGGCTGTGGGACTTCCAGTACTCAATAGTATTGATCCTGTGCCTATTCCATTCAAATCCTTAGAAAACGGGTTAATTATCATATTATTCTTCAAAGTAGCTTATATACCCTACTGTGCAAAAGAGACAGAGAATGGAATGATATGTATTGCATAATGACAGAGCAGATTAGATGCAGCAAGAAAACTAGGGAGGCGATGGTGAATTTTGACTGGGTGGAGAGGATTTTAGAGGTCTCATGAGAGAGTTAAGACCTGAAGGCATCACCCTTATTTTCAGAGCTCACACAGTTAGTGTTGTCTGTCTGCTCTAATGCTCCTCTGGGAATCCCACCCCTCAAACACCTGTTACATGGGGAACTTCATTTGAGTTGGAGTGTGAGTTCAGGAAGCAGGGCTGGCCTTCCAGGTAGATGGGGTGAAGGCTGTGGAGGACCATGACTGTGAAGCTTAGGAGCTTGGTTACATTGAGTGAGTGAGGGTGTGTGTGTGTGTGTGTGTATCCATCAACATGTTCTGGAGACATGAGAGTGACTGATGCTGTCAGGTAGGAATGTGGACATGAGTTAGAGGAGTGAGTATCTAGAAGCAAGGGACCAGCAGATACCATCACAGGACTTGAATGAGAGAAGGTGCAATGGGCAGGAGAGATACTGTGAGGAGATAGTAGACATTGGTGGGTAATGGCTGTTGCAGCTCAGAGAGGTTAGAAAGGAAATGGTTTTCTGTTTGAATCTTGAGATAGTGTTTTCTGAGAAGCTTTGTTTCTTTTATCTGGTATGAAAGAAGGAAGCAGGAAAAATTGGGAGGAAAATGTCCAAGTAGGTAATTTGTCTTTGACAAGCAGGAACAGTTGCTAACCTTGGATAACCTCTTATGTCTGCTGGAGTTTTGTTGTACTCTAGAAGGCCTGGTGGCATCCCCATTTTTACCTGACTCTTTGAAAAAATTTATTTATGTATTTTAAAGGTGCAGTGTGGAGGGAGGGAGGGATCGAGAGCGTGCATGTGTGTGTGCCAAAAGAGAGAGAGAGGGAGAAAGAGAAAATGAGAATATATCTCATTTACTGGTACGCTTATCAAACGCTTTCAAGACCCAAGTTTGGTCCAGGCTGAACCCAGGATCCTTGCAGCTCAGTCCTGGTCTCTTTGATCCATCACCCATTGCTTCCTGGCATGCGCATTAGCTGGACTCTAGAATTGGAACAAAACTGGGACTCATACTTGTACACACCACTTTAGGACCTTAACCTCTGTGTAAAACACTTCCACCCTCTTCCTTCTGACAGAGCACCAGCATCTGTTTGGAAAGTGGAAGGGCAAATGACAATAAGATGTCAGTGAACTTGACTACCCTATATTGGCCCAAGACCAGTGAACACTGTGGTAGTGGCTCAAGCTAAGCTTTTAGTTTATCTCTTTCCTGTGAGCTTCCTCACTATACTGCCTAAACTGATCTTAAAAATATATATATTTTGGGGGGCCCGGTGTGGTGGCCTAGCGGCTGAAGTCCTTGCCTTGAAAGTGCCAGGATCCCATATGGACATAGGTTCTACTCCCGGTGGCTCCCTGCTTCCCATCCAGCTCCCTGCCTGTGGCCTGGGAAAGCAGTTGAGGATGGCCCAAAGCCTTGGGACCCTGCACCCATGTGGGAGACCTGGAAGAAGTTACTAGATACTGGCTTCGGATCGGCATAGCACCAGCCTTTGCATTCACTTGGGCAGTGAATCATCAGACGGAAGATCTTCCTCTCTGTCTCTCCTCCTCTCTGTATATCTGACTTTGCATTAATAAATAAATAAATCTTTATATATATATATATATTTTTTTTTGTTTTGTTTTGTTTTGTTTTGGTCTTGGCTCTTTCTCTTAGTCCCTGGGCCTTCCCTTCCTGTCCTATCCCTTCCCTCCCCTTTCATCCTTTCTCCTCTCCTCCCCTCCCCTCTCCTCACCTCCCTTCTTTTTCTCCTTCCCCAGTAAGTGCTCTAATATAAAAATCAATGCATTTTTCCCATTTAAAATCATTGCTTTATCGTACTTGTTATTTTTGCAAGAACTTTTAAAGACATCACAGTGTTCTTTGCTGTTTATTTCTTTATATATTTGTGGTTAACCTAAAATCAGTGAGTATTTTATATTACTTAAAATTGAGAGAAAATGTTATTAGATTAATGATTATAAGAGGAATTTGAACATATTACTGATTCATAAAACAAGTTTTACTACAGTAACAGTTTTGCTTGGTCTTAAGCCATATAAAACACATGTAGATATATCTATATTTGTTCATGACCGGGTGACATTATTATCTTACATTGTGTATGCTTCCTAGTTGCTCAAAGCACTTCACTTACATTTTCTTCCATATTTATTATCCACTCTTGCAACAACAACCTTGTGAGGTTGCCAGGGAAAGTTTTGTTTGCATTTCATGTAAGCAGGAAAGGAAACAAAGAGAGGCTTATGTAACTTGCTTAAGGTGAAACACTGAATACCACCAATACTTGTTTCAAATAGTAATGTTTTTGCATTATATTATGCTTTCTACTGTATTATTCTGATGCCTGAAATATTATTATAAGTGAAATTTATCTAATTCTCTTGATGTGGTTGGATGAGCTGAATCCAGTTAAGCCTGAAGGAAGAACTGAATGGATACACTTTGGTTATGGACAGCAGGCAGAAAGGCTGGTTAGAGAGCTCTTGGCTGTTTTTGGTTCTGGACAGCAGGCAGAAAGGCTGGTTAGAGAGCTCTTGGCTGTTTTCACCAGGAATCATCCTCTGGGAACTGAGCACCCAGATTGGCTGGGGGTGGGGAGAGGGCTTCCACGGAGTCTATAACCCTTGCAGAGATGAGTAACTAAGAAGGGAATTCCACGTTAGAGTTACAGAGTACTGAGTGACAGTCATGAATTCCACACTCTCGGTGCTGGCCAGTGTTCATAAGCCAGTTTTGGAAGAACACATAAAGCCCTCTTCCTACGGCATTTGATGACACTTCTAGAAACTGGATTGATTTGCAAGGTCTTTGGGGGGTGGGTCCCTGGGTGGGTGTGCAGGGAAAAGATCTTTCTCACAGCTCAATGCCTCAGTTTCCATGGTTTCTGAACAAGACTGCATCCAAAGGTGACAAAAGAATGACGCCAAACAGAAGTGCTGAGCACGAGCCAGGCACAGTTGAGAGGTGTGGGTCCTTCTCGGCTCTCCAGGCATTCTGGCAGGCTCTCAGGACAAAGGCAGTCAGAAGGAGTGATCTCACCTTCCAGTCCTGGTGGCTGATCTCAGGCCTGCTCAAAGTGGAAGGCAGGCACATCAGAAACAGATGACAAATGTCAATGTGTTTCTGTTTGGTGAGATACGAAATTAGAGCAAACATCTACTTTATCAGTGTCTTAAAGACTAATTTTTTTTTACCACCCTGTAGAATACTATATGGAATTCCTGTGATCAGTGAAAACCAAGAATATGTCAGTGTCCCTCCGTCACCATCAGGGAATCTGTTTGAATCACCACAGCGTGTTGAGACACCTTACATGCAAGTCTTGGGAGAAGAAGTAAGAATTTTCTTTTTCCTACTTGAAATAGAGTTTATTTTTTAAATCATTAGGTTAGTTTTTGACAGATTCATCACAGTTTGAAGGTACAATTGTTATATTGATATGTTCCCTTCCTCCCCATCTCCTTATCTCCCTCCCATTTCTGTAGCTTTTCTAATAGATTTTACTTATTTTTTGATAACACATGCAAACTTAGTAAGGGGATAGTTTCTTGGAATTTCATTGCAAAATTACCTCTGAGAAAGATGGCACAGAATCACGTTTACCTATTTTTGTACAATGGATCACTAAAAGCCCTGGACATTACACATGTATGAAGATTCCAGTGATAAAGAGAAAGAAGCATTGTAACTGGGAATTGCAGAGCCTGTGTAGTAAGATGAAGTGGTGGTGAGTAAGCTCCCTGGTTTGTCTTTTGTAGTCCACATAGCTTAGATTTGACCAGAAAAAGACTGGTAATCTGAAAACACCAGCAAGTAAAGACAAGAAAAGAAAAGCTCCAACAAAAAGCTTGATATCTCTAGTCAAAGGAAAAGAACCAATTAGAAAACAGAATTTTAAAAAACTAGTAACTGGTCTGTTCCAAGCAAACACCAGGCTAAAGTTCCCAGATCCAACCACTAGCAGAAGTCTGTGGCCCCATGCCTGCCCACACCAACCGAAGCCTAAGGGAAGATTGGACCACTCTACCTGCTCGATTGTCAGGAGGCACCGTAACACTGCTGTCAGGGTAGGGTCACGGAAGGCAAAATCTGATGTTGGGACTTGCGTCTTGATGGAGTGGTAATAAAGCTCTTCCTCTGTCTGCTAGCTGAGGCTCGTGGAGCTTCTACTGCCACCCCTATCATTCTTTGCCCTTCTCACTAGAGTGGGGTTGGAGGAGGTATAGGTGTGATTGGCGGGTCAGCTAAACACGAGTTTTTTTTCTTTTAAAAGATTTATTTACTTGAAAGAGAGAGTTTTATATAGAGAGAAGGACACACACACAAACCCCTACCTATGCACCCACACACAGCCCTACCTACATGCACCACACATCTACTTTCCATCTGCTGGCTCATTCCCAAAAGAGCCATAATGGCCAGTAAAGAGCTGAAAATCAGGAGCTTCTTCCAGGACTCCCATGTGGTTGCAGGGGCCCGAGCATATTGTAGCTTGTGTAAAAATGTTTGCAACAACCTTATTCATAGAGGGCAAACTGGAAACACGTATATGTTCTTTATTGAGTTAATCAAACTGAAAACCCATACCCATAGAATACTACTCAGCCTTAAAAAGAAGTGAACTATTGGTAATGCAACAACAGTGATAGCTCTTCAGAGAAATATGCTGAGGGCATCAGTTCTAAAATAGTATATACAGGCGATATCATCACGACTAATGGCAGAATTATGGAAATAGAGAACAGACTATTAGTTTTCTAGGTTTCAGAAGTCAGGGGTGGGGATGAGTGTGAGGGATCAGGTGACGGAGACGTTTTGCTTTTTGGCAATCAACACCAACATTTAAAAAAATGATAGTGTGTGATAGGTTGCCATGACATTAACTCTGAGGGAAACTGGAGAAAGAGTAGGTGGGATATTTATTTATTTTTTTTTAGAAACAATGTTATTTATTTGAAAAGAAGTGCTACAGGGAGAGAGAGAGAGAGAGAGAGAGAGAGAGAGAGAGAGAGAGAGAGAGGAAGAGAAAGACATCACGACATCTTCCATTTTCTGGATCAGATTGCTCACAGACTGAAGTCAGACTGGATCATAAACCAGGATCTAGGAGCTTTCTGCAGGTCTCATATGTGAGTTCAGGGGTCCAGCTTGGCACATTTTTCACTGCTCTCCAACATTCATCAGCAGGAAGCTGGATAGGAAGTTGAACAGCCAGGACTTGAACAAGAGCCCATGTGGGATCCTGGCATTGCAGGCAGCAGCTTTACCCACTGTATCATGATGCTGGACCCTGAGGATCTTTGGATTCTTTTTTAGAATTCCATTTGTCTAAAGTTGTCCAAAAATAAAAGAACTAATAAAAACTGAGGCTACTGGGTCTTTATAGAGTAGTGGAAGAGACCTAATCAAAGTGAAAATTACTACAGTCATTTGTATAACCAATCAAAACAAAAGAAGAACCCACACAAGTTCGTTGTAACTGAAATGTGAACCATGTCATATGTTACTACTTTAAAATCTACTGATTTAAACTTTGATGTGACATTTATCTGTGCGTAATTTCATGTCATGCAGTGGTCAATTGGAAACTACCTTTCACTGAGTTTTGCAGCTCTTTACATGTCAATATATTGCACAATATGTATAGTATCAAAATAGCCTTTTTGATGTCATGTGCATGGAGTTTCAAAAATTTATAATTTTTTATTCAAAAGCTCAAATTTTTATTGACAGAACTTTTTTTTTGACAGATACCCTTAAGTGTTATATTTGAAGTTACCAGTTTTATTGTTTTTTCAAGATAACTATTGCCAAACCTCAGTAAGCATAATTTGATATTTTGCCTGTGAAATTAAAAGTTGGCTATTTCAGTTCATTTAGTAGCCTACATTTTCTAAGTTTAATGTCTTTTCTGCTTTTAAAGAGCGTTTTAATGTGCTGCCACCTTGCATCGTGCTAAAGCACCGTTAGTTTACACACATTAATTATATAAAGTCACTTTCACCATCAGTACAAATGTCAAAACATTGAAGAAGGCAGATAGCATTCTCCAGGGTCTCACACTATGTTTTAAAGTCTGGTGTTATGCTCTGTTTCTTTTAATGCAGTTTTAGCCCAGAAGCTAATTTGGGTGTCTCCTTCCCTGGTTGGACAGAACTCTGACCCGTGACTATTGGTGTGAACGTTAATAAAGTCGTTGCAACACACATTGTAATCTTAGGGGTTGTTCAGGAGTTGTTAAACACTGAGTTAATCCCCCATGCTTCCTAGTTAGTGGTTTGGCTTGGCAGACAGTCTGTACTCAACTGTCAAGTTCTAGAACCCACTAATCCTGCTATTTCTAATCGTTTGCCTACTGCTGTTCTTACGATGGTCTCACCATGGCTGCCTAAATCAATATATCATGGTTAGTGTTTGGTTAACTTCTCCTTTTTCCCCTTTGGTAAGGTTGTTTAATACATTGGTAATTCATTTATTTTGTTATATTCTGAATTCTATCTTAGAATTTCTCATGACCTCCTCAATGATTTTTTAAAAATTTACGTTACATTGAAATTCACTCTTTGTGCTGTAAAGTTCAGTGGGCTTTGACAAATGCATCGTATTACTTAGCTGCAATTTCAGTGACATATAGCATAGTTCACTTATCTGAAAAGTCCCCTAGAAATGATTAATATTTATTTGGAAAGCTTTTAAAGATACAAAGGAATAGAGAAGCCAAACTAACAAACATCTGTGAACATGTTATCAAGAATTCATAGTTGTTCACATTTTGTCATGGATATTCCATATTTTAAAGAATAAATTAAAAAAAATCATTGAAGTGGGCTCTTTTATACTTTTTCTTAGTTCCATTTCTCTTCCTCTACATCTAAGAAAAATTGTTGTTAACAATTCTTATTAATAATCTTTCCAGTCCATGACTTTACTAGCTGTCTTTGTGACTCTAACAAATAATACAATTTTTAGGTACTGTAGACATTTTAATATTAATTCTTCCAATCCATGAACAAAAAAATTGCTTTCCATTTTTCATGTCTCTGATAATTTATTTCATAAATGTTTTAAACATTTCTTTGTAGAGATGCTTCAGTTATTTTAAAAATCATTTTACACTAATACTTTGTTTTTCATGTTAGTGTAATGCTAAGTTAATGCAAAGTGTAGCTCATAGATACAGTTCTAAGAGTATACTGATATTTCCTTCCTTCCTTCTACCCTTCCCACCCTTCCTCCCTTTTCTCCTTCTGTCTCCTCCTCTCCTTTACTTCTCTCCTTCCCTCCCTCCCTCCCTTCTTTCTTTTGAAAATTTTCAGATAACACAGTTTAAATTAACATTGCAGTCAGAAGCTTAATGCTCTACTAAAAAAGGTATCAACAAGTAAAAGACAAAGGCACTGCTTCAGGGCCCTATGCATTAGCCTAGTGGCTAAAGTCCTTACATTGCACATGCCAGGATCCAGTATGGATGTTGGTTCATGTCTTGGCAGCCACACTTCCCATCCAGCTCCCTGCTTGTGGCCTGGGGACGCAGTCGAGGATGGCCCAAAGCCTTGGGACCCTGCACTGGCAGGGGGACTCAGAAGAGGTTCCTGGCTCCTGGCTTTGGATTGGCTCACCTTTGGCCATTGTGGTCACTTGGGGAGTGAAAGAATGGATGCGAGATCTTTCCCTTTCTCTCTCTCCTGCTCTCTGTATGTGTGAATTTCCAATAAAAATAAGTGAATCTTAAAGTTGGTAGGTATTAGGAAATAATTGTACATTATTAAAAAAAAAAAGACACTAGTTCAGCAATAATACACACCAAGGTTATAAACAATAATAAGATGGAAGGATGGCCATTTCTCTCATACACAGCAAATTTAAAAATAGTTACAGAGCATTAAACTATAGTATTATATTTTTAAAAAAGTTTTAATTGTTTGAAAAGCAAAATTACAGAGATACAGGGAGCGACAGAGAAATAAATCTTCCATTTGCTGATTCACTCCTCGGTTGCAGTGGCCACTTTTGGACTACAGCAAAACAAGGAATTAGGAGCTTCCTTTGGATCTGCCATGAGGAATTCAGGGTCCTAAGCAATAGGTTAGTGTTAATCTTCTGCTTACGTTAGCAGGCAGCTGGAGCAGAAATGGAGCAGCCAGGACTAGAACCTATGGGATGTCTGTTGCAAGCCACAGCTTCAGATCACACACCAAAATGCTGGCTCCTGAATAACATACTTAACCACTGGTTTGATAAAACTATAAAGCAAAGTTTGACCAAAAATATTTTTGATAATACTGATACACACAGGTATTTCTTGTTTTAGATTTTTTTTTTCTTTTTCAAATATAACTCACATATGAGGGAGAATGTGGTATTTGTGTTTCTGTATTTCACTCAACATAGTGATCTACATACAATAGCATCCATTCTGATGCAAATGGAAGAATTTCATTTTTAAAGCTGAATAGTTTTGCATTGTGTGGACTTATTATATTTGTGTGTGTGTGTGTGTGTGTGTGTGTGTGTGTCTTGCATTTTGTTTATCCATTGATCTGAGGTCCACACCTTGGCTGAGTCCAGATTTTGGCCGTTGTGAATAGTGCTTCTGTGACAACGGTACAGATTTCTCTTTGGCATAACAGGTATATGCTCACTAATCAAATCTTCCAGGTTTTTCGGTTATTTGTTCCTAAATATTTCACTTTGGTGGATTTCTGTCATTCTTTCAATTCAGTTTATTCTCAAATATTTGATTTTTTTTGTAGCTGTTGTGAGCGGAGTTTCTTTTGTAGTAAAATAATCAAAAAAAGGCACTTTTTTTGTAACTTCGTTGTCTAAACTGCACTTTTGCTGACTTGTCTTATCAGTTATGACGTCTTTTTTGGCTTTTGTCTGTACTCGTGTGGAACAGTGGTCTTTCTGCGTTTCACTTGTTGAACCAGGATTGTGTGCCTTACTACTGAATTTTACGAAACATTTGAAGATTCACTGATTTGAGTGCTTTTCCAGTTATTCCAAAATATTGAATGATGTGAGACTCTGCTGAGGTCTTTTCACAAGACAAGCATCACTTTCATACAAAAACCAAACAGACATCACACTAAAAGAAGACCATCGGTCTTTATCCTTGATGAACATACGTGCAAAAATTCTCTGCAGAGTGTTTGCCAACTGAATCTAAAATCTCATCAAAAAGATCATACACCATGATCAAGTGGAATTTGATCATGGGGGGCAAAGGCAATTCAAGTTTTACAAATCAATAAATATCATAAATAACATCAACAGAATGGGAAACAAAACTCCCTTGATCATCTCGATAGATGAAAGAGAAAGCATTTGAGAAGATTCAACTTTCCTTCACAACAAAAACCATGTATAAATTATGTGTTGAGGGAACATGTTTGCCAGTTATACACACAGTGTATAAGAAATCAACACCATACTGAAAGCTTTCAACTTCTGCCACAGCTTGGGAATCAGATGAGTATGCCCATTTCCACAGCTTCCCCACCCCCCGCCCGTCCCAGTATAGGGCTGGAAATAGCAGCAGAAGTAATTAGAGAGGAGAAATAGAAGGTAAAGGGCATCAAGTCAAAATATCCATGTTTGCAGATGACATGATGTTGTTCATGAGTCTTTGATTTTGTTGTTTCAAGTTTTCTGTAAATAACCTGCATATATATGTACATACATGTGTATGCATGGGATTTCTCTAGAATATGCAGTAGACAGTGAAATTGCTGGAATACATGGCACGTATACATATATTATATTTTACTAGAAATATTTTATATTTTACTGGAAATGACCAATGTATCTTCAGAATGGCTTTACTAATTTCACTTAGCCTCACGTGGTATTGCTGATGCTACTTTTTGCTATTCCAAGAGGTTGAAAGGTTTGTCTTTTCTAAAAGTGGAATCTTCAAGTCACTTTCTCATCATCTAGAGACAAATTCAACAGCAGCTTAGATTTTTACCTTGGAGGGGTAATTTGTTTGCCATTTCTATAACCTTTCCTGTTGTTTTCAAAGATGCCTGCTTACCCAGGACTTTCCAAGTTGTTGTGGAGTCCGGCTGCACCTAAATTTTCTGTTCCAGAATCTGTCATGAAGAAAATCCTATATCCAAAATATGAGGTAACTTCTGAATGGGGTTCACTACTGTTATTGCTATTATAATGTAATAATTAAGTTGTATAATTGGTCATGGGATTAGTTTTATTGGGTTGTAAATTGTCAGACAACTATTGCTGTAATCAGGATCAATTGGATAGCCATAATGAGATTATTTTAATCATATATGCTTAAATGCTCATGGATATGTATTATTATATAAGCATATAAATGTGTAGTTACATTTATTACTCAACTCAAAGTATGCATTTTCTATATTCATGTATCACTGTAATTTCTTATATTACTTATATTTCTTGAAATGTTTTGATTTTCCATGCTATTTTGCAAGTGAAGAATATTGTTCTATTTCTTTTTTTTTTTTTTGAAGGATTGGCTTACTTGACTGAGGATACATTATGCCACTTGAATTATTTAGAGAATTTTCATTGCATTTTCATTCACTTTTAACGTGAATTTTAAATAAATTGAATGTTAAAAATTTCCATACTATAGAAATACAATTGTTAATCTGCTTTTTTCTCCCTTTAAAGAATGTTGGTTTATTTCCATGTTGTTTTTTATTCTTAATATGAAAAAAATCAAGAAAAATAAAATCATCTCTTATTTTTTTCCCTCATATAATTACTACCCAATATTTATTTTTTTCCCTCAGATAATTACTGCCCAATTTCTATTTTTAAAAAAGATTTATTTATTTTTACTGAAAGGCAGATCTACAGAGAGGAGGAAAGACAGAGAGGAAGATCTTCCGTCCAATGATTCATTCCCCATGTGACTGCAGTTGCTGGTGTTGTGCCAATCTGAAGCCAGGAGCCAGAAGCTCTTCCAGATCTCCCACATGGGTGCAGGGTCCCAAAGCTTTGGGCCGTCCTCGACTGCTTTCCCAGGCCACAAGCAGAGAGCTGGATGGGAAGCGGGGCTGCCAGGATTAGAACCAGCGCCCATATGGGATCCCGGGGCATGCAGGTTGAGGACTTTAATGACTATGCTATCGCATCAGGCCCCCAATATTTAAAAAAATTCTTTCCCTTTCTCCTTTTTTTTTTTCTTATTTTCCCTCTTAAAATGCTGAACATTACTGTGTATGTTTTTAAAATATTTGTCTTCATTTCGCTTGTGAAGCAGAGACATACAGAGAAAGACAGACAAGAGACATATATAGAGAGATTGTCCGTTAGCTGCTTCACTCCCACTTGCCTGCAGCAGCCGGGCTGGGTCAGGCTGAAACCAGGAGTCCAGAAGTCAGTTTAGGGCCACAGGCACGGGAGACCATTGTAGTGTAAGCATGACTTGCTGCCTCCCTGGCACACATGAAGGGAGCTGAATGTGGACTGTAATCCAGGAACTACCATGTGGGGTGTCAGCATCTCAAGCAGCGTTATCACCATCATGTCAAGTGCCTGTCCCAGTGTCCATACATTTAAGTGATGTTTAGGATTATTTTATTTGAAAAACTGTTTTGTACAGCACATGTATCATAAAGAAATAGAATAGGAAAGCTCGTGAAAGCGTGAGAATGTTAGTGGCATAACAAAGCCAGAGATAAAAGAGTAGTATTTTTAAGTAAGTACTCAAATTAAAAACATGTAGGAAATGTATATGTTCTTTTGTTGGACTCTGTAATCAGAGTTATTCTTGTTTCAGCGAGTTAATTGGATAACACTCCATGTTTTGAAATAGTCTATAGTTAATATTGCTTGGAAATAATCTTAAAAATTTGGGAGAATTCATTGCTTGAATTTATCTGAATCATTTGGGAAGGTGATTGGTACTTAGAAGTTTTCTTTGTTAATTCTGGGGTTCTTTATGTTTATTATCTCTGTTACTCTTGTCCAAAGACATAACCAAGTCTGCAGCTTAAATCTACCACTGTTTTGGCAAACATTCTGAGGTGGAAAGTCTTCTTGTAGATGGGCTTTCCCTTTCTAGGTCTTATCTGTTCTTAGGTTTGTTTATGACGTCTTCGTTGTTTTGGTAGCTCTTAGATGTTTTGAAGATGATGTTCTTCATATTATTTTGCTTTCAACAGAATTATTACCCACTCTTTCACAATCAGAAGCAGAGGTGATGACTGATTTCTGCTGTTTAACTCTGTTTTGTCTGAGTGGGTTTCAGTGTTTTACCCTTTTGCTGATCACGTATTCAATGGGATCTAATGTGATAATTCTATATACCTATTCAATTGTTACTGACTTTTAAAATCACAAGCTTGGTCCCATCTGCATATTAACTTCAGAAATATCTCTAGAGTAGAGTAGAAGAATATTCTGCCAGGAATTATGTAAGCAGTAATGTAACCGACTGCCCAATTAAAGACCATTAGATTGAGCAGTGTTCTCTCCTGTTGCAGGATTCTGACTTACAAGCCGTAGTCTTTTGATTCTTGTGTTGTTGAAAACATGCTTTAAAATATGCAATAACTATTTCATCATATTTAATTATTCTTTAAAAGCCTAAAAGTAAAACAGTTTGAAATTTTTTGCATATCATGTAATGGTTCCTTGGAAAAGAGTGATGAAAGTGCCCATGCCTACTAAGTAGCATACCTTACCTTGTGCTATAAGAATACAACAAAGGAGGTGAGCAAAAACTCATAAAACACTGCTGGTACTCTCCTCTGGTAGTAAATATTGCACAATACTGTTAAAGCTCATTTTTATTCAATAAACACCTTTTCAATTTGAATGTGCGTTTTTTGAAACCTTAGACCTTAGACCTCCAGTAATCAAAGCCCCTTTATGAGATAAGTTACCATAAAGACTGTCCAATTCCAGTCTTCTAGTCGTTACTGCATATTCAAATTACTGATCACAAGGTTGATAAGCAGCACACTTAATTATAATTACACAGCTCACTCATTTAGCAGTAGACAATTATACACTGTAACTTAATGTTAAAATTCAAAGGTACAAATTGTTTAAGTGTTCATTCTACTATGCACTGAACATGCTTGCTGATGTTTGAAAATGAATATTCACACATTGTCAGTAAACCCTAGTAATGTGTATTGTTCATAAGCTTGATGTAGATAGGCTTCTAAATTCAGCAGTCACCTGTGAGATTGTAGGATTGTCGATCACGCCTAACATTAAGGAGATAAGAATTAATATGGCAGCATCCATTTGGGTAAAGGCCAATATGAGAGCCACATTGTAGGTTTGGGCCAGTTATTTAGACTATAGCTGGATTTTGATTCATTTCTGGTGAGTGTTTTTCAAGAATTTTCCCTCAGCCAAATGCTTTTTTTTGGGTGATTATAACAGTGATTATAGACATTTTAAAGTATTCCACAATATAATTTAAAACGTGTATCTTTTTATCACAGAGTGTTCAAACAAGTCTTATTTTATCTGAGAGATTTTCATGGGAAAATGAAGAAAATATTATTATAGATCGTAGCAAAAGCATTTGTAGGGTATGTATGATTTTTCGTTTTAAACTGTGGATTACCGTAAGTGTCTTCAGTTTTGAAATTATGTTTAGTAACTCCGGAAATCAGTGCTTGGTGTTTCCTGCTTTTGGGAAATGGCCGAGATCATTCAATGGTGTTTTTGCTATGGATACATTTCGCTTCTCAAATATGCTGTGCTTATGATACTTAGAGGATGCTGTTCACCGATCAGTGGCAGGATATTTGCCGCAAGTTTTCCGCTGTTTCTACTCATTCGTGCTTAGGTCTCAAATGATTGAAGGGACAAGTTTTTGAACCACAGGAAGTATCTGTTGGTGGGCATGAAGCCAGGTAAAATTGATTATCTCCGTAGTGATTAGGCGCATACGTATGACCTCAGCATCACCACAGAATATCCAAGTACGCTTAGCAACTAGAAAGCAACTGGAGAGAGAAGAAGTAGTGCTTGAGGGAAGGAGATTGAGGATCACACGCCTGGCTTAGTAATACCCTGAAATTTATGGCGGTTTGGAAGGTGTTTTTTCTTGTGATCGGTGCCTTCAGACCTCTCCTACTTGTTGATATCTCGGGGTGCTGAGTAATAGAAACTCATTGTGTTCCAAGATGAATCACATGATATCCTATGTCCCTGTCTTCCTCCTTGCTACCCACGTGGGAAGGGGATGCTTTGACCTGTGGGGGTGGAGGGCACTGTGGTCATGTTTCTGATACAAATCAACTTTAATGCTTGCTTTTTCTTAAGTTTAATTTTTCTTTCATTTTGTTATGATTATTATTATATGATATAGTTCCATAGGTTCTGGTATTTCCTTTGCTTACTCCTTAAATCCCTCCCCCCAACCCACTGATTTCCTCTATATTTTTATGCTGGTATAGTTCTTCATAAACAATCAGAAGTCCATGATTGTGGGTGTGGACCATGTGGCAGAGTGCAGCGATTGCCATTATATATTGAACAATTTCATTGGAAGTGTCATTTAATTCTTTCTTTATAGTACTTTGTAGAAAAAAAGTACTTTATAGTACTTTTGTACTTATAGAAGGACTCTGATCTTTTTGTTTGTCACCAGCCTGGTGTCATATCATTTGTATTTATGTGGTTTTCTCCACAGCACCTTGAGTAGTGACTGTTGCTTAAAAATATTGTATGTCAGCAACAAATGATACTTTCCTAGTTTGGAATTCCAGCTACATTTTCCAGACTAATATGGTAGTACTGCCTGCACTGGTATGTCAGCTAATCCCATTTTCAGTGGCTGCTTCTTCCAATTTACTGTGTTTTTTTTTTTTTTAAAGATTTATTTACTTTATTACAAAGTCAGATATACAGAGAGGAGGAGAGACAGAGAGGAAGATCTTCCGTCTGATGATTCACTCCCCAAGTGAGCGCAGCAGCTGGTGCTGCGCCGATCCAGAGCCCGGAGCCAGGAAATTCCTCCAGGTCTCCCACGTGGGTGCAGGGTCCCAACCGGTACCCATATGGGATCCTGGAGCATTCAAGGCGAGGACTTTAGCTGCTAGGCCATGCCGCTGGGCCCTGTGTTACTTTCTTAAAACACAGCTGTGATCCTATCATTTATGTCTTGATCACCTTATTCTCTCCACCTACCGAATGAAGTCAGTGTCTAATTCTGCCTCATAACCTGGCTTTAACTACATGTTCTGTTAGCTCCTATTACACTTACGCTTCCATGTTAGCTGCATGGATGCTGCGCTTGACACTGCATCCTTGTGGGCTAAAATGCTGGTGCTCTGACTTCTCTGTGGTTCTTGAGGCTTTTCCCATGACCTGGGCTGCTCAGCCCTTTCTCAGATTAGAGAACTTCTGCTACCTTTGAAACAGCAACTCTGAGGCTCCCTCTTCGTCTTGGTCTGGTGCCTTCCCTCTCACAGCACAGTGTCCTCCTCTCGTACTCGCTTTGGCCATTTTTACAGTCATTGCCACAGTTGTGCTGTGGATTATAGATATTTATTTATTGGTGTTTGTACCATGACACTATCAGAGGGCTTGGAACACATTTTTTTTTTGCACTTTCCACTTAAAAATATACAAATTCTTTCCAGCTCCTTTAATAAAATAGCACCATGTTTGTCAACCATTACAGTGTGTGGTAATGTTTGTACAGTCTATTAAAGGAAAAGGTTGAAGTTGTTCATGAGCAGAGATGACTTTTCAAGGGACAGTGGCTGTCGCAGGCTCCACCGGTGCAGCCGCAAGGTTGAGAGCATTGGGTGGGCTCAATGTCCCAATGCCCAGGGGCATGTTCACACACTTCTGTGGCACCTTGGCCAGCTGGGCAGCTTTGTGCTGTGACATCTCCCACATAGCAAGCACTTACTGCTCATGATATCAAGCCATAATTTAAAAAATGAGTTGGTTTTAATTATATAGATTAATATACTAATAAGTTAATTGATGAAGGTTAAATTCTTCTCATCTCTATGAAATCAATGGCTTCAGGAACAATATAAATTGTATTTTTACTAGTATTTCTCTGTTTCATTACTTTACCCAAGTAATATTGTTATCCAATTGTCATATAGTAGTCTAGAGTCCTAAATAATATTGACAGTTAATTATATTTCTCATTTTATTATTTCACAGTTTTTGACACTAAGAAAATCTGCCTCATTTGGAGGTATTCCAACATCATTGAGGGAAGAATCTGTACAATTAAAGGTATTAAAATTGATCAGTTTTTACTAAACAAGAAAAAGGTTTGCATTTTGGGGAATGATAATGTTTTTTTCCAAAGGCATGTTCATGTATTTTATATCCTGTTTTCAGTTGATTATATGTTGAATTATATATAGCTTCTTGAGGTGAGGAAAGCATAGTAAATCATGGAGGCTCAGTGCCTCTATTTTACTTAAGTACATTTTAAAGGATATTGTTAACTGCTGTGAAACTGTCTTGTTTTGATTTGGGGTCTAAACTTTGCTGGGGAAGATATTTCTTTTTTATTCAAAATTAATTTTCTTTGAAAGGCAGAGTTTATTTATATATAGAGAGGTCTTTCATCTGCTGGTTTACTTTTCAAATGGTCATTATAACCAGAACTGAACCCACCTGAAGCCAGGAGCTTCTTCCAAATCTGCCACATACGTGCAGGGGCCCAAGTCTCTAGGCCATCCTCCGTAGCTTTTCCTGGTGGTAAGCAGAGAGCTGGATTGGAAATAGGGCATCTAGGAAATGAACAAGCTCCTATATGGGATGCCAGCACTGCAGGCAGAGCATTAGCTGGCTGTGCCTCTGCACCAGCTCCAAGGAAAATATTTCAGCAAATTAATATTAGCAAAGAAGGAAATTAATTTATTACTAAAACAAAACAAAGCAAAATCATTGGCTCATAGACAGGAAATATTTATCAAAGGAGTGGAAATTACCATTAGTAATGAATATAATAGCGTTTTAATAAGTAGGTATAATAGGTTTTAATAATTAGGTATAGGGCCCGGCGCGGTGGCGCAAGTGGTTAAGGTCCTTGCCTTGCACACCCGGGATCCCATATGGGCGCTGGTTCTATCCTGGCAGCCCCGCTTCCCTTCTAGCTCCCTGCCTGTGGCCCGGGAAGGCGGTCGAGGACGGCCCAAGGCTTTGGGACCCTGCACCCGCGTGGGAGACCTGAAAGAGTCTCCTGGCTTCGGATCGGCATAGTATCGGCCATTGTGCTCACTTGGGGAGTGAATCATCGGACGGAAGATCTTCCTCTCTGTCTCTCCTCTCTGTATATCCGCCTTTCCAATAAAAAAAATAATAAAAATAAATCTTTAAAAAAATAATTAGGTATAATAGTTAGGTATAATAGGTTTTAATAATTAGGTATAATAGTTTTAATAATTAGGTCATATACTATTAGCATTATAATATTTGTTAAAAGTTAAATTGATCCCTTCTTTCTGTATATCTGCTTTTCCAATAAGAATAATAAATAATTTAAAAATAAAAATAAAAAGTTAAATTGATTCTACAATGACTAGATGAAATAGACTAAAATTTGGTTATTTAATCATAGACAATGTATTGGGAATTTATTTCAAAGACTGTATTAACATTATTGTATGAGAATTCAATGTTGAAAATAGAGTTTTTTTTAAAAGATTTATTTATTTATTGGAAAGTCAGATATACAGAGAGAAGGAGAGACAGAGAGGAAGATCTTCCGTCCGATGATTCATTCCCCAAGTGAGCGCAACGGCTGATGCTATGCCGATCCGAAGCCAGGAGCCAGGAGCTCTTCTGGGTCTCCCACATGGGTGCAGGGTCCCAAGGCTTTGGGCTTTCCTCGACTGCTTTCCCAGGCCACAAGCAGGGAGCTGGATGGGAAGTGGAGCTGCCAGGAATAGAACTGGTGCCCATATGAGATCCTGGCATGTTCAAGGCGAGGACTTTAGCCACTAGGCCAACACGCCGGGCCTGAAAATAGAGTTTTAAAGTTGATAAACCTTTTTAGTAGTTTTTACTCATTTTACCAATTTTTTTGTGCTTAAAGTAAAAATAGAGCATCTATTTTATTTGAATATGTAGAGTGCATTCTCTTTTTTTGTAGTTTCTGTAAATTTTTTAAATTTAATTTTATGACATGGTTTCATAGGCTCTGGGATTCCTCCCCCCTCCCCATGTTGGATTCCTTCGCATTGTTGCCGTAGTACATTTCATATCCAGTCATGATTCCTGCATTGCGAGCATGTACCAAGCATAGAGTCCAGCGTTTCGTTGTCCAAATAATTTCAACTGTTTGCTTGGGTGTTAGGTGGTACCTCATTGATGTCTTAAAATGGAATTCCCTTATTGCCAGGGAACTGGAGCATTTTTTCATGTGTGTGTTTGCCATTTGGGTTTGTTCCTTTGTGAAATGTCTGCCCATTTCCTGTGCCCATTTCTTGAGTGGTTTGTTTGTTTTGGTTGTTCTGGAGATCTTTGTATATCCTGGAGATTAGCCCTTTATCACCTATGTAGTCTGCAAAGATGTTCTCCCATTCTGTGGTTTGCTTTTTTACTTTGTTGATTGTTTCCCTTGCTGTACAGAAGCTTCTTAGCTTGATGAGGTCCCATTTGTTTATTTTGGTCTTGATTGCTGTTGCTTTTGGTGTCCTTTTTAGGAAGTCAGGACCTACCCCTAGATCTTGCAGGGTGTTTCCAATATTTGCTTCCAAAAGTTTGAAGGTTTCTGAGTGTAGGTTCAGGTCTTTTATCCATGTAGATTTGATCTTAGTGTATGGTGATAGATGTGGGTCTATCTTTTTGTTTCTGCAGGCTATCAACCAGTTGTCCCAACAGCATATATTGAAGAGACCTTCCCATTTGCCTGGATTGTTGTCTGTTTTTTTTTTTTGTCAAAGATTATTTGGCTGTATCTGTGTGGGTTCCCTTCTGGTGTTTCTATTCTGCTCCATTGATCCTCCTTTCTATCTTTGTGCCAGTACCAGGCTGTTTTGATAACGACACCCTATAGTATGTTCAGTGGTCTGGAAATGTGATTACCCCTGCTAATTTTGCATTCTTCAGGATGGTTCTAGCTATTTGTGGTTTTTTGTGTTTCCAGATGAACCTTTGTGTCATTGTTTCCAGTTCTATGAAGAATGTTTTGGGTAATTGATTGAGATTGCATTGAATGTATATATTGCTTTTGGTAGTATGGACCTTTTAATGATATTGATTTTGCCTGTCCACAAGCATGGTATGTTTCTCCATGTTTTGAGATCTTCCTCAATTTCTTTTTAAAGTTTTTTGTAGTTTTCTTCAAAAAGAGGTCTTCTACATTTTTAGTTAGGTTTATTTCTGGATAATTCATTTTCTTCTGTTATTTTGAATGGTATCTTGCTGGTTATATCTTTTTCCATCTTGGGGCTGTTTGCATAAACTATGGCTGTTGATTTTTGTTCATTTATTTTGTACCCTGCCACTCTACCAAACTCTCATATAAGTTCTAGTAGTTTCTGTGTTCATTCTCTTGTTTCTTCTACATATAGGATCATGCCATCTGCAAATAGTGAAAGCTTGACTTTTTCATTTCCCATTTGAATTCCTTTGATTTTTTTCTTTTCTTATGGCCTCTGCAAGTACCTCTAGTACTATGTTGAATAGCAGTGGTGATAGCGGGCATCCTTGTCTTGTTCCAGATCTCAGTGGAAAGGGTTCCAGTTTTTCTCCATTCAATATGATGCTGGCGTTGGAATTCTTTGATTATGTTGTGGATTGTTCCTTCTATGCCTACCTTAGTTAGAGTTTTTAGCATGAAGTCGTGTTGGATTTTTTGGAAAGTTTTTTCTGCATCTATTGATGCTATTATATGATTTTTGTTCTTCAGTTTTTGGATGTGGTGTAGTACATTTATAGATTTACGAATGTTGAACCATCCCTACATTCTAGGGATGAATCCTAGTTGATCTGGATGAATGATCTGTCTGATGTTTTTATGTATTCTGTTTCTATTCTAGATAAATCATAATGAATAGATATTTGTTTTGCAGTGTTGTTTATACGCCTAACAAAATCAAATATTTATATATTGTTATATGTTAATGTGTATATATGTATATTATTGTCAAAATGTTTTCTATGTCTATCTAATAAAATTGTTTTGTCCTATCTAGTCAAATTGTTGTATGGTGCTTTAATCATCCCAGTTTTGACTTTGTGAGCTGACTTAAATTATCTTAGAATACATGATTTAAAATGTTGTAGTAATGAGGCCAAATACTAGTTATTGTAGCTAAATTATTTTTGCATACATAGCACTAACTTGCTGCTACTTTGCTTGCTTTTTAAGAGAGTAAAATCTGCCTTTGAACTGAGGAAGGAGGAGACAACAGTTCCATTAGAAGTCAAAGATGACATGCAAAGCAATATGAAAGAGGTGATGTTCCAGAAAGCCAAAGAATGGGAGTTTCTGCTCGCTAAGCAAGAGAAAGCCAAGGCATCCCAGCCAGAGAAAGAAAACATAGATGTCATCTTGGACAGCATTCAGGAGAAAGAGACATTGAGAGATCTGTCCTTCTCGCTCATTGAAGCATCCAGAAAAGCTGGCATCACTTATATTGTGTATCCCAAGAAAATGAAGATGAAGTTGAAGAGAAGACTGAGACCTGAGAAACTCACACGCATATATGAGGAGCTATCCAAGCCTCCGAAAATGCTACACAGGTCTTGTAGAAACTGTATATACACACACATATATATGTGTATATATATACATATATGTATACATATATACACACATATTAACCGCATATGTATAATGGTTTAAGTAATGTGCTCTGGTTTTGGCTTTAAACATTTCACTCAGGAAAGTTATTCCTATTTTATTCAGTACTAATAATATGACAAACTCTTAGCTAAATGATAATCCTTGATTTTAACAATAATGTGGAGATTTCATAGTATAAATATGTGAATACTGTTTCACAAGAGTTGATTTAAATTCATTAAATTGAATTAAGACTAAATCAATATGATAGCTAAATTAAATCTTTCAGTGGAAAGAAAGAAAACCTCAGCAAGTTGGTTTGAAGTGATTTAGTTCTGAAAAACAACTTCTGATCTAAACAAATGCCATCAACAATCAAAGGAGATTGCTGGTATTTTACTATTTTCAACTTTAAATGATTAGATTGAAGACTGTGTTTAGAAAGATTGATCTTTGCACATGTGGATTCTTATCCAGGGCCAACACACAAAAGTAGTTTATTGTTCCCCATACTTGGGGATAATGGTAATTAGCATGTCTGAAAATACATAGAGATGTGAAATAATAACAAGTGAAATATGTTTAATTATTCAAGATGTAACTTTTTTCTTTTTAAAAAAAGATTATTTATTTACTTACTTGAAAGGCAGAGAGAGAATCTTTCATTCACTGGTTCAAGCTTTGAGTTTATTTTATTCACTGGCTCAAGCCAGGAGCCTACACTATTTTGGTCTCCCTTGTGTTGAGCCATTCTCTGCTGCTTTCCCAGACATGTAGGCTGAACTGGAAGTGGAGCAGATGGGACTCAAGTCAGCATTCGTATGGGATACTAGTGTCACAGGTGGCGACCTCACCTGCTGTGTCCAAGGATGTAGAGTTCTTATAAACAAAGTGTTATACAAAACAGCTTTTCCAAAAAGCTGTGAAATCTATTTCCCTTTGGATATCTGCAGATAACACAGAATTTGTTAACTTTATGCCCTTTTGAAAAGTAAGAACGTTCCTGCTGATAAAGGAGTCAGAAAGCTAAAAACTTGCCCTTTTTGGGAAAAAGGTGGGTTATCTTTTTTTTTTTTATTTTGACAGTCTTTACATAGTTAATTTGGGTAAAAAGGTTCAAGGGCTACAGGAAAGTAGGTAAGATTATTGTTTCCATATTGTTTCCTTCATGTATCTGAGGTAAAGGGGGATATTGAGGGAGAAGCCCCACCCAGTGGTTATCTTTTGTTGTGAGGGTCTCTGAGAGTGCAGGAGTAGTGCTGTATGAGTGTGGGTGAGAAGGTGGCACAGAGGCCAAGCCAGGGAATGGTGTCCTTTATAACCCAAGCTATCTGCACAACCTGTACTTACTAGTCCTTTGCTGTGATGTGGTACCTGGAAACTCTCCAGGGAATTCAACTTTAGAAGGCTTTATGAAGGATTTCCCAAGTTGACAACTGTTTTAGATCTGAACCAGAAGTTTACTTGCATGTTTTTGATGTTTTCTGATTTCAAAGGGTTGAGAGTCTTCACTCATCTTCTGCTTTATCCACACCACTGGGCCATGAACTCAATGTCTTCTGTCAAAATAAACAATATCAGAGGAAGCACTACTTCTGTGAGGTGCTGCTTCCTGACTATCATTTTTCTGAGTAAATCTTCACCATTTAAACATATTTCTTGGCCTTTTTATACTGAACTTGAAATTTCTATATGTCAGCGAGAGTCATGACTTAATTCATAGGATCAGCTTTTAAGTGGAGCATCAAAGCAAAATATGACAGCATTTGTTACAGTGGTAGGGAATGTCTGGCCCGTGGGCCATATAAAGCTTACACATTGTTTGGCCTTGCCTTGCCAAGGCAATTGCAGGTGGAACCCAAAATTCAACTAAATCTACAGTAGGCAAATTTTAAGGTGAAATATTTTTATGGCTCAGAAGTAATGTTATAAAATGTCCTGGAGAAAAAGAATGTTCTCCACCATGCAAGACAATACATCAGTACATCCTTCCTACCTCTTTTTTTTTTAAAGAATCTTAATTAATTTTTCACATAACGTAGCTGTGAAATAACTGCTAGTTCAAAAGCAATTCTATAGAGCCACTGTTATAATTTATTCTTGTGATTTAACATAATTTTTCCTAAACTTGATAACTCAAACTTATATTCAATATTTTTAAAATTAAGATTTAACTAATTGACTTGAGGGCCAAAGAAAGAAAAAATCTTCGTTTCCTGGTTCACTCCCCAAAGGGCCACAATGGCCAGGGCTGGACCAGGCCAAAGCCAGGAGCCAGGAGCTTCATCTAAGTCTCCCACTTGGGTACAGGGACCCAAGCTCCTGATCCATCCTCTGCTGCTTTCTGAGGCACACTAATAGGGAGTTGGATTGAAAGAGCAGCTGAGATTCAAACTTGTGCGTGTTTGTGATGCTGACACCACAGACTATGCCTATGCCACAGTTTTAGCTGTTATATCCAATTTTTAAGCTTGTTAAATCACAGTCTTTCTTGACTGACTCTGTTGATGGTGAGAAGTGGACTGCATTCATTTTCATGTATCAGACCAAATACTGACGTTGTAAATAATGCCTACCGAAGGCCAATGAGCTGATTCAAAGCCCAGGCTCATGCATTTCTCTTCAGTCCCTTGGCTGCAGGTTAGCTCTGCTGCGTCCCTTCTCGACTAGATTCTGGTAGGATGCCATGTGTCTACAGTAACTTTGCAACTTAGCTATTTCTCTAGAAATCTCCCTTTTTGGTCTCTGAGCTCAGTGTTGGCAGACCACAAATGGACTCAGGAAACACACATATGCAAGATTCTAGGGAAACCTCTTTGCCAGAGTGAAATAGGTAATCCATGGCATGTGGTGACAGTGAAACTCCTCAGGCCTAAGTTTGGCTCCATCCACTCTTTTTTTTGCTGTGGTTATGAATGTTCCCTCTACGAGCTTCTGTCATCTGCCACCCTCATTTAGCAAATCAGTGTGTCTACCTGCTCTCAGATTTGAACCTCCAAATCTGTGAGCTCAACAAACTCTTTGTAATCTTAGCAGTCTTGGGTATTTTGCTGTGGCAGTGCAAAGCTGTGTAATGTAGAATGTAATAAGTACTATGAAGAAAAGTAAAGCAATACAACCGGAGTTCCTGTTTTAGAGAAGTCAGAGACCTCTGATAGTTACAGTTGAGCACAGAACTGAATGAAACAAGGGAAGAAGATGTTTAGAAAGCTGAGGAAAAGATATGTTAAAGTTGAGAGTCCTTAAGTTGGTGGTGTGCTTATTGTTTCTGAGGGATAGTATGGATATCAGTGTGTCTGGAGAATAGGAAGTGAACAGCATGGTAAGAAGTGAACGTTGAGGAGGTGTAGACAAGTATAGTACTCCATTATGTTTTGTATCTCACAGTAAGTGATGGATTTGAAATTACTCATGCCAGTACTAGGAAATCATTGTGGAATTGAAAATGGGATGTGATGTAGGCAGTAGTAGGGACTTTGGATTCTTAAATATAAAAGAAAGTATCAGGAGTAAAGAGAAATGCATTGACTTGATACCATTAGTGTTCTGGAAAGCTCCCTCGAGTTGCTCTGAGACGGAAAGGTGTTAGTGGAAACACAAAGATCAGTTAGGAGGCTACTGAAATAACTCAGGTGACACATGGTTCCTTTGGGGTGATAGCAATTCAAGTGCTAAAAAGTGACCAGATTCTTGATACCTTTGTTGAGTAGGAACAACAGGAATTGCTCATGGATTGGATGTGACATTTGTGGAAGAATTAAGGATGGTGGTTCTAAAAACATATTGTGGCCCTTATTACATGAATGTAAACTTCAGCTAGACCTCCAGAATACAAGAATGGAAAAGGAAGCATTTAAAGTCAACAGCTAACAACCAGGTGCCAGCAGGTTTATTTATTGATTTACTAAATATACCCAATGTGTCTGAACTGAATCTGTAATTTTCAGGTGGTCAGCATTGTGTCATCAGCCTAAACTACTACTTGTGATATTGGCATTCCATGTTGGTGTGCTGTTTTGAGTCCCAGCTGTTCTGCTTCCCATCATGCTTGTGTACTGGAGACAGCACTGGAAAAATAATCCAAATACTTGGACCTCTGCCAGACATGGATGGAGTTCCTGGCTCTTGAAGTAGGCCTGAAGCAGTTTCAGTTACATTAGCAATTTTGGGAGTAAACCAGCAGATCGGAGCTCTGACTCTGCCACTCTCTATAATTCTGCTTTGAATATATTTAAATTAATAACTCTTAAATAAGATTATTACAAATTGATTACATTAGTGATAGTTTCTAGTCATTTTTATTGTAAAGATGTATTTGAAAGACAGTTACACAGAGAAGGAGAGAGAAGATAGAATAAATAAAAAAGAGAAGGAACAGGGTAGAGGAAAGAAAAGAAAGGAGAAGAGAGAAAGATCTTTCATCCACTGATTCAGTTCCAGATGGTTGCAGAAGCCAAGGTTGCACCATGTTGAAGCTAGACCCTGGGACTCCATCTGACCTCTTTCATGAGGATAGCAGTGGTCCAAACACTTGGGCTGTCTCAACACTGCTCTCCCAGGCTCATCGGAAAGTAGCTGAATCAAAAGTAAAACAACCAGGACTCAAGCAAGCTCTCGTTTGAGATGCTAATGTTGCAAGGGGCAGCTTAACTCCTGAGTCACAATGCTGGCCCTGATTTATTTATTTAAAGATTTATTTTATTTTTATTGGAAAGGCGGATATACAGAGAGGAGAGACAGAGAGGAAGATCTTCCATCTGATGATTCACTCCCCAAGTGAGCGCAACAGTCAATGCTATGCCGATCCAAAGCCAGGAGCCTCTTCCACCGGGATTAGAACCGGCGCCCATATGGGATCCCGGGTGTGGAAGGCGAGGACCTTAACCACTGCGCCATCGTGCTGGGTCCGCTGGCCCTGATTTATGCTCATTTTCTACCAGCAGTTTGGTTTTTGTGTTGGTTAAACAGGAAGTAAAATGGAGATGTGATAGAAGTGCAGCTTTCAGTTCTCTGATGCCACTGAGATGTACTTTCCTCAGAGCAGTGGTAGGAATTTTCATTTGTTATCTTGGTGGATGGTGTATAGGACGGGGTGGTGGGGATTGCAGAACTTTCCTGTGGTTACCATGTATTCATTTCTGCAAGTTATTATCTCCCACTGAACACTGTGGGATTGGGCATGGGTTCCTGCCTTACTGCAACCACTTTAAATGACTTCATACTAAGAATTTCTTGATCACTTGACGTTCCTAATTCCCCAGTTTGACAGATGGTCTTCAGTGGCAGCCACAGTAGGCACCTGTGAAGTAGTGTAAGGTTAGCACTAGTGTCTTATTAGCCCCGCATTCAAGTATTTACCCTTTCTCACACTTTTGGACACTCTTGGGGAGAATTCACCATATTTATCTAGGACACAGGATAAGACCCTTTCTCACCAGGTCTAGGCCTAAATATATATTTTTTTAATCAAGTGAGAGGCATTTTGATCTTCAAACTGGCTTAGAGCTGAGAGTTGAGTAAGAGAGTATGTGCCTTTCAGCAGATTAGATTGATGCCTGCAAGACATGGAAGCTTTTCATCTGTGTAAATCAAAGAGCACTATAGCAATCTGCTCATTTCCCAAGGCCGTGATCATTTAGTTGCCACAGATCCTTGCATGTAATAATCATTTATTACAGATGTCCTATTACCCTGGTACCTTGTAGTAATTGCACGCACCATCTCTGATAGCACAACACGCTTAGCTGGGTTTTATCATCCCAGGATCCCTTTGTCCCCACTGCTATTACTGCATCGAATTTCTTTGCTCATGTTTTCCTACTATTTTTTAAAAACTAGTTCTGAGGTCAGTACCCATAAGACTGTTCAAAGGGCATTGTGCTCATTCTCCATTTCCAGGGAATGGGGCTTGACTAAGCATTTTCTGTATTACAGATCGGTACTTATATCCTGGAACTCTAGATGTTGTTCTTTTAGTGCAGCAGTTCTCAAAGTGAAGTTCCTGTGTCAGTGGTCCCCAGGGAAGTTGTTGAAAGTACCAATACTAGACTGCTGCTCTTGGTTGGCTTAACGAGAGGCTCTGAGGGCAGAACTCAGCAACTGGAGTTTTGACTCTGATGCATGCTGAAGTTTGAGGTCATTCTCTTAGTATGTGCCAGGATAGTTTTCACTACCACACTGTGAGAGCTCTTCCAAAACCACTCCTGTGGGGTAGAAGTGAGAGCCTGAGTGTCTCCAGTGGTCCCTTATGAATGGGTTTAAGAGTCGCATTAAATGATTATGGGAAGGGAGTGCTCAAATCAGTTCCAGTACAGCCTGTGAGTGCTCCTGAGAAAATACTTATCTAGTAGATGACTAACTCTCAGATGAGTTCTGTTATGGGAAAATAAGCAGAAATTCAAAATTCTTACCCCCTTCATGTTTGTATGTATTCCATATTTCAGATTCTTATTGCTTCCCTATTAGCTTCATTTCCTTGGTGTGCAAGGTTTATGGAGTTTGGATAGTTAATTGCTAGTACTGCTTTAATCTGAAAGAACTGGCTAGATGACACAATTAAATGGAATTATTTGAGAGAGAGTGAGGAGGAGAGGCTGACTCACTGATTTATTCATCCAGTACCTACAATAGCTTGAGCTGGGGCTGGGGCCAAACACAGGAGCTGGGAATTCAATCCACCTTCTCTGTGTGGGAGGCAGGAATCCATTGTCTTAAATCAGTTTGGCTACCTCCCGGGGTCTGTGCTGGCTGGAAGCTGGAGTCAGGAATCAAAGCTGGAAATCAGAATCAGGTACTGCGATTGAGGACGTGTGTCAACTGCTAGGCTAAAGGCCTGACTACACAATCTACATTATTTTGACTACATTACTTTAGTCCTGATGGCTAAGTGCCACGATTTCCTAATGTCTTTCCTCCTATGTGAATATTATTTCCTGTGAAACTGATGCTAGAGATATTTTGATACCACCACATTTTGTAGATTGTATTTTATTTTATTCTGGCAAAGAGATTTTCCTAGGATGTGTGTGTGAGTGTGTATGTGTGTGTGTGTGTTTGTTCTACTTCTGATAACAGTTAATTTATAATTAAGTTCCCAGTGGTGAATAGCATGGTCAGGATAATTATGAGAGGGAATGATTATGACAGGGGCATAATTATGATTGCAATTATGATTATGAGAGAATAATTATGAGAGGGGCAATTTACAAAGATGTCAGGGTATAGGGAAACCATAGAAGACAGTGCAGTATCTTGGGGCTAGAAATAGTCAATCCTTTATTTGCCCCTAAGTTTAGGAGACAAAAAGAAGGACTGATGGCAACAAATAAAGAAACAAGTTATTTATAAAGGATTTCTTGGGAAGAAGTAGTGATCTTTGCTCAAGAATCATGGCTGATTTGAGGAAGCCATTCATGAGAGAACCAGGAGAATTTTACCTTTCTTCTTGCTTCTGTTTGGGTTCCTAATTGGACAAACAGATTGAGAAGATGAAGATTAGGACATCCCATGTCTGTAAGCTACACACTTTAGTCCCCCAGCATAGAGAACAAAGTGATGAATATGGAGATGCAGAAAGCTTTCTAAGAGGACACCTGATTGGAAACAGGAATTGAGGTGTTTTGGAGAAAGATAGGTGATGAGGGCTTCCCCCGGAATTGATGAAGGGTATGAAAGTGATGATGAAGGAGGAAAGTGACATTGGTTACTTTTATTTTTCTAGTATTTAGCACCAAGTCTTTCATGTAGTACAGCCTTGGTACATGTTCATGAAATGATGGGATTAAAAGTTTGCTTTTCTCCCAATAAGATGTGTTTGCTCTATCTTCTCTGCCAGAGGGAGAGGTGGGAGATGTTAAGTAAACCTGGAAGGAGCATTTTCCTGATTTCAGCTGTCTAGGGATGCTACAGCTTTGCTTTCCGAATCCTTACAAGGATTCTCCATACAGTGGGGAGAGTTGAATGGCATGACATTAGCCTGCAGTTGTGTTTTGGTAACCGAGTAGCAATTTTGTGTTACTGAATTGATTTATTGAGAAGAAAGACAATTATGTATTTCTGTAATTAAATATTCCCCCTTTCTAAATTTAGGTCAACATCACATGGAATACTTCCTGGACAGAAGAAATATTTTATCAGGTTGCCATTCTATGAACGTCCAATACGTAGTCCCAGCTTGCCTCCCTATTTAAATTTTGACAAGTTTGTTGAAAGCAAAGGAGGAATTCCAGAAAACAGTAATCCTCGGACATGGGTGTTGGATACGCTCATTAAGTATAAACTGAAGAAACAATCCCCAGAAGTTGCTGAAGTATCTGTGCTTGAAGACCTACCCAAACCAGTGACAGAGTTAAAAATCCTGGAATTGAGCGATTATTTGAAGTGCGATCTTCCACCAGAAGTTATTGAACGCTACGAATCTGAAGTGAAAATCTTGACTAAAGAAATAAATAGAAAGAATGCATTTCCTGTATTTGAGTATTGTAGGCGTGGAGCTATTTACAGAAAACTGGGAAAGTTAAAGAGTGCTATGAATGATCTACAGAAAGTAAGTTTTATTTAAAAATAATATTCAGCAATGACATGATAATTATGCAATTATATTGAAATTTTGGAACAGTAAATGGTTGTGCTATAAAATATGGGATTGTGAAAATATGCTTATTGCTATTTTCTAATGTTTATATATAATATTTATATATATAAACACTAGCAATATATATGATATATTGCTGTTTTCTAATGTTTATATATAATATCTATATATTATATATAATGTTTATATGTTATATATATATATATATATACACACACACATACACACGTGCAAACTACTCAGGTCCATAGAGTTTGAAAAATTTGATAAGATATCTTTCTTCAAATCATGAATTTTAATTGAATTTATGTATACATTTTCTAGGTTATAAATGCAGAACCATTGTTTCTCAATGCCTACTGGCACCGGCATTTCATTTATCTTTTCCAAGACAAAATCACTGAAGCATTGGATGATTTGAATTTTATATCCAAACATAATAAAAATAATGCAGGTAGGCTTTTGCTGAGGACACTTATATTACCTGTATGTTTATGTCTTATTCATTCATTGGTGTTATAAGGATGCATAAATCAAAGCATCCAAATTCTGAGAAAATGGCTGTGCTTTTGGGGTTATAAATTTAGGGCTTAGTCAATCCTATTTCCACAATAATGACCAAACACAGTTTGACATGTTCATGTCCTTGATACACATTACAGGAAATTAGTTCCTTACTATTAGTTTTTGATGCTGGTGCTTTGGTGCAGTAGACTAAGTTGCCACCTGGGATGCTGGCATATCAGAGTGTATAGCAGAGATGTGGTTCGAGTCTCAGCTGCTGTTTCTGCAGACTCAGCTCCTCGTTGATGCCACTGGGGAGAAGTAGCAACTGACCTAACTACTTTGGCACCTGTCACCCACATATAATTCAAGACTCTCAGCTTAGGCCATGAATTAGCTTGGCTGTTACAGTCTTTTGGAGTGTAAGCTACTGAATGGAAGATATCTTTCTTGGTCTGGCTCTTCCCTGTTTTATCATTGTGACTTTCAAATTTATCTTTTAAAAAGTTTTAGTTTTAAAAATAATTCACAGGGGCCAGCACTGTGGTATAGCTGATTAAGCACTGCATATAATGCCAGCATTCCATATGGATGTTATTGCCATCTCCTGCTGCTCTACTTCCTATCCAGCTTCCTGTTAATGGCCCAGGAAAAGCAGCAGAAGATGGCCCAAGTGTTTGGGACATTGACAGCTACAGGGAAGTCTTTGATGAAGGTCCTGGCTTCAGCCCTGAAGAAATTAAAGGAGTTCAAATAGGAAAATCTGAAGTTAAGCTATCTCTGTTTGCAGATGACATGATTCTATACATAGGAAAACCAAGAGACGCAATAAAGAGACTGCTACAACTTATACAAGACTTTGTAAAAGGGACAGGGTGCACAATAAACAAATGTAAATCAATGGACCTGGTGCACACAAGCAACTCCAGGGCTGAAAAAGAGCTAGTCAGTGCAATCCCTTTCAAAATAACAGAGAAGGCACTTAAATATCTTGGAATAAACTCAAGACGTGGAAGACCTCTATGAGGAAAACAATAAAACATTGAAAAAAGAAACAGAAGAAGACCTTAAAATGGACAAATATACCATGTTCCTGGATGGACAGAGTCAACATCATCAAAATGTCCACATTACCAAGAGCAATATACAAATTAAATGCAATCTCAATCAAAATATCAAGAACATTCTTCACAGAGTTGGAAAAAAATTATGCAAAGTTTCATCTGGAAACATAAGAAACCGCAAATAGCCCAAACTGTCTAAAGAATAAAAATCTAGCTGGAGGGAATCACAATTCCTGACCTTAGTAGGACATATTATAGGTCAGTAGTAATCAAAACAGCCTGGTTCTGGTACACAAACAGAGAGGAAGATCATGGAGCAGAACAGAAATATCAGAAGAGAGCCTGCACCATGTATAGCCAGCTAATCTTCAACAAGAAAACATCCCAGATAAAAAAGATGCCCTCTTCAACAAATGCTGATGGGACAACTGGATAGCAGCCCACAGAAGTAAGAAACAAGACCCACACATTTCACCATACGCGAAGATCAAATCTAAATGCTAAAATGATCTAAACCTATGCTCAGAAACCTTAAAACTATTGGAAGAAAATGTAGGAAATACGCTACAAGATAAAGGCAAAGACTTCGTAGAAAAATCATCAAAAGCTTAGGTCAGTCATCAAGACCAAAGGAAACAAATGGGGCTGGATCAAACTAAGAAGCTCCTGCACAGCAAAGGAAACAATCAACAAAGTAAAGAAGCAACCAAGAGAGTGGGAGAAAATCTTTGCACACCATACAACAGACAGGGGAGCTAATATCTAGGATACACAAAGAACTCCAGGAAAACCACAGCACCTGCTGGCGAGAATGTGGGAGAAAGATACTTGACTCTATTGCTGATAGTGTCGCAGGTTGAGGCAGCCACTTTGGAAGTTAGTGCAGAATACTCAGACTACTGAAAATTAACCTACCAAATGACCAACAATCCTGTTCCTGGGAATATATCCAAAGGAACTAATACACGCACATGAGAACACAACCTGAATCCTTATATTCATTGCAGCATACTCAACGGTCGCAAAAACTTGGAAACTACCTAGAAACTCATTGAAGGATGGCTAGATAAAAAGCTGTGGCACATCTACCCTGTGGAATACTACTCAGCTATTAAAAATAGTGAAATTGGGCCTGGCGCCATGGCGCAGTGGTTAAGCTACCCGCCTTGCATGCCCGGGATCCCATACGGGCACCGGTTCTATCCCAGCAGCCCCGCTTCCCTTCCAGCTACCTGCCTGTGGCCCGAGAAAGCAGTCGAGGACAGCCCAAAGCTTTGGGACCCTGCACCCGCGTGGGAGACCTGGAAGAGGCTCCTGGCTTCGGATCGGCATAGTATCGGCCTTGCGCTCACTTGGGGAGTGAATCATCGGACGGAAGATCTTCCTCTCTTTCTCTCCTCTCTCTATATCTGCCTTTCCAATAAAAAAATAATAAAAACAAATCTTTAAAAAAACCGCAGGGACAGTGTAAGGGAGATATTGTAAGTGTCATTTTTTATACTGTTTTGCTACATCTCATGGGATCTGCTAGTGTTTTTAATTTCATTTCTAAAATTTTTTTTCTTAATTTCTTCAGTGACACATAGGTCATATATTAGCATTGTGTTTGTCAGAAGGGTTTTGATTTTTCTTTTTCATTTCTTCAGCAACATATTGGTTATTCAGTAGCATGGTATTTAATTTTATGTTATAAATTTTTTTTATTATTGTTCCTGTTGATTTTGGTTCATGTCCTTTCATTTAAAGGGAAATATAATAACTGTGTAAAACAAACTATCATAACCAGTTGTGAAGATACAATGTAGTATTCATCTCTATTCCAACTCAAAGATGAACTCCCAAAGAAACTGTTAAGCATGTCTTGACAATGGGACCCTGGACTCTCTGCCATGGTTCATACTTACAATGTAAGGTTACACTTAAATAGTAGAATGATGCACATGTGACTGTCTCTGGAGGGCTATTCTACTGTAAGAATATGGGGGAAGTCAGTGAGGGGAGGGGATTTGGGAGGGAGCAAGTGCGAAGCCAGAGAGTATAGAACTGCATTATAAAATAATAATAATAATAATAAAACATGTGTTCAACGAAATAATAAAGAAAGACTTCCGTAATTGGGAAACAAAATGCAGGAGGGGTACACAACTCCCATTAGGGTTGACAAAAGTGATCTTCACCACAACACGTGATAATCAAGCTCTCTTCAGATGTACACAGGCAATGGATCCTTAAATATGAATGTGATAACAATCAATTAACATATAGAGGAACCACAGTCAAACTCACTGCTGACTTCTCGGAGAAAATTCTACAGGCCAGAAGAATGTGGAGTGACATATTCCAGATTCTAAAACAAAAAAGTTGTCAACCACCAAAGCTTTCCTATGTCTTTGAAAATGAAAGAAATTTCTTCCACAGTAAGGAAAACTGAAAGAATTCACCTCTTCCTACCTGCCCTGCAAATGATACTTAAAGATGTTCTCTTGACAGAGGAAAGTAATAGCACTTACCAAAACCAAAGACAAACATGGAGAACATCCCAGTAAAACAGCAAAAGAAGACTAAGTCAAAGGACGAACAACCCATTACAGGACCAAATTATCTATCCATATTAACCCTGAACGTAAATGGCTTAAACTCAGCAGTCCAATGTCATAGCTTAGTGGGTTGGATCAAAAAACAAAACCCATCTCTCTGTTGCCTACAGGAGTCACATTTCACCACAGAATTAAGCAGAAATTGAAAGCAAAAGGATAGATTAAGATATTACAGGATAACAGAAAAGAAAAACAAGCTAGCATAGCTATTCTCATATCAGATAATACAGACTTTGAAAAATATTAGATGAAGAAGGACAGCACACACTGATCAATTCAGTATTGATTGAATGTGGATGGATTGAGTGAATGGGTCACATACTGATCCATTCAGGCAGAGAGAGCACTTTACTAGTTTCCTGTGATGTTTTCTTTTTCATTTCTAAATTTCTTGGTTTTTCTCTCTTGCTTTTCCTTGCTAGTCTAAAAGTTTGTTTTGCTCTCCTTTTTTAAAAAATGACTCCTTTTTGCAATTTGCAGTTTTTTTTTTAGTTTTGATTCCAGTTTGCTATGATTTTTATCATTTCTTGCTTCCTGTTCATTTTTATAAGTGCTTGAGATGCATTGTTAGATCATTTATTTGAGGCATTTCTATTGCCCCTGGTGTTACAAACGTCCCTTCAAGGCTGTTTTTTGCTATATCTCATGGGTTTTGGTATTTTTGTTTTTATTTTCATTTGTTCAAAAATTTTTTTCTTGCTTATAGGTCGTACTGTAGAATCATTTTCTTCAAGAAGGTTTTTTGTTTTCTTTTTCGTTTCTTCAGTGACACATTAGTCATTCAGTACCATGTTGCTTAACTTCATGTTGTTGTAAGTTTTCTGAATTTCTTTCTGTTGTAGATTTTTTTCTGTTTTTTGGCTTTTCATTTAAGAGCATATGTAGTAACTACATAGTAGAGACTATCATATCCAGATGTGTAGGTACATGTAGTATGTATTCCCATTTCCAAATTAAGAATGGACTCCCAGTGTAATTGTTACATGTATCTTGATAATAGGATGCTAGACTCTGTGCCATTGTCCATACTTACAATGTCAGGATACATTTAAATAGCAAAATGATGGACTTAAAAGTTTTTCTGATGGACTATACTATTGTAAAATATGGGATAAATCAGTGGGAGGAGAAGTGAATTTGGGGAGAAAGTGGAAAAATCCCAGAGCCAATGGGATTGCATCATAAAATAATAAATGTATGGTTATTTAAGAGAATGAAATAAAAAAAAATCAAAAAAGTATTTTAAGACTGTTTTTGGAGGGAGAGTGATTAATCTTTTAAAAATTTTATAGTTGGTTAAATGTGTGTATCACTGTACTTCCTTTTAATCTTCTTTAGAAGTGTATCTGTCAAAAGCAGAAATTTTCAGAAGACAAAATGATACGATTTTTGCAATTCTAAACTATAGCCAGGCGATTAAGTGCAGGCCGACAGATGCTGACTTATATTTCAGGAGGGGTGAGATGCATGAAAAGCAAAACAGAGCTCTGGCCATTGATGACTTTTCTAAAGTAAGTCTTGTCTTCTGGATGCTGCCTTTTATGTGTTTTCGATAGCAGTATTCTCATTTTAAGAGTATAATGAGTTTTGGAAAGTCTTTTCAAATATATATGCAATACCTAAGGAAGGTTAATTTGTAGGCTAGCAACCAAAGAGTTAATTATTGGTGTTGATATTAGTACTTCATCTGTGATGTTTAAGTTATTATTAGTGGACGAATAGATTCACATCAGGGGAGTTAGGTGTGAAGTCACTGAGACCAGGCTGAGGGAAGACTGTCTCCAGCTCCCTTGACCTGTGAGACAGTGATGAAGAAAGCTCCAGACACACTGATAATCACAGAAAATTATTTTCCACTTTTAAATGGTGAGCAGCTTATTCTCTTTCATAGGAGATCTACCTGCTTCAAAGACACTGTGTTTGCTGGTTCATTTATTCATTGGTTCACTCACAAGCACGGACTGAGGTGCTGAGTAACATACATAGATGGCAACGAATGGAACACTGTTCATGCTTACTTGGAATTTATCATTTAAAGGACAGATATTTAGAGATATGTAGAAACACATTCATTAAAAAGCAATCACAGTTATGAGTTGTGTTTATGAAGGGGAATAAGGATAATTGGAAAATAATTCCCATTTAGTTGGCGAGTTCAGGGAGTGTCCTTGAGGAAGTGTACTTTAGTTGAACTTCATTTTGAGGCTGATTTTAAGATAAAATGTCTCCCTGAGTGTAACAGAACTGCCACCCTGATGTCTTAACGTTCGGTTTCGAGTTTTCACTGCTCAGTACAATGGGGACTTTAAGAGAAATTATTTGAATTATATAATTTTCTGTGTTCTTAGCTGCCTTTTTAACTCATGATCATTTCTCTACATATTTGACATTCTTCTGCTTGAGCAGAACTTGTGGTATATGAATGATCAAAAAAGTCTAAAACATTTGACTATATTTCAATGATTAGAGTATTGATTCTGTTTATTTGCTCTGTCTGACACCAATAGTTAACAGATAGATCAAAGCAGCACCTTGAGGTCAAGTACACTTCAAAATATTCAGCTTTTTTTCTGTTCCAAGAATTCTTGATAACTTCTCTTGTGCCTCAGTTCTTTTCTAGGAGCATGAGGGGAGATATTTTATAGCAGAGTTGATAATAATGTAATCTGTTTACTCTGCTGCCTTGTAGGTAAAAATGAAATGAGTGAAACACGCTAGTACCAATTTTTTCCCCCTCAGGGACTCCATTAATCTCTATAGTTTATTTGGTTGAGTAAGCCTTAAGATAGTCTAGTTTCTCATCATAAAATGAGCAACAATCTGTCACAGAATTTTGAGACCCATTAAAACAAAGTTCAATGAAAAAAAAGAATACCATGAGGGGGTCCAGTGTAACTCCACTCTACCCCAAGAATTCACTTAGGAATTTTCAATGGTGAAAATTTCAGTGGCAAACAGGCACTGATTTCTTATATTTGGTGTATTTTTCTTTCTTAGAAAAGATTTCTACTCTAGAATTTGATGATGGGTGGATTTATTGAAGTTATGGTCTTTGAATGCAGACGTGAAATGTTTGGTGTCTTAAAGTTAATTTCCTCTAAGTAATCGGAAGTTTAAAAATGCGACTGTAGCCCACTGAACGTGCGATGTGACTGCACACTTAGTGTACTTTTACGTTGTGTGATATGTTTGTGTGTCTCCTCCCACTCCTCCTGTAGTGTATCTTTTACGATCCCAAAAGAGCAGATGCATTATTTAAGCGTGGGATGTTTTATTATGAAAATGAAAACTGGATTCTAGCCATACAGGATTTTACAGCCTTGTTAAATATAGATCACCAAAATTCCCAAGTAAGGTAAGATTTATTTTGGATGTTTTTTTTTTGAAGCTATTGTTTGAAGTATGTTTTCAGTAGAGCAAATTGCTTGAAGTACAGTCAGACAAGCTTGCAAAAATAATGAGTCCATTTTCAGTGCTACTAGCGAATGAAAATCCTAACCTACTTATACCTCTATGACAGTAAGCAGTTTAATGGGTAAAAAATGACAATTAAGAATTATTTCCCAGGGCCTGTGTTGTGGCTCTGTGGGTTCAGCCACTGACTGTGATGCTAGCAAACCCTGTCAGTGCTGATTTGAGTCCTGGCTGTTTCACTTCCAGTTCATTTTCCCTGCTACTGCACCTTTTAATGCGGTGCAAGATGGCCCAAATGCTTGGACTCCTGCCATCCACATGCAGGACCTGTGTGGAGTCCAGGCTCCTGGTCCAGCCTGGCTCAACCCAAGTTGGACAGCCATTTGCAGTGAGCAGTAGGTGGAAGGTCTCTCTGGCGTGTGCGTTCTCTTTCTTTCTCTCTGGCTTACAAATAGATAGGTATTTCTTTGAAAATAATAACTTCATTTACATTTCTTAAATATTGATTATATCATACATCTGTTGCATTGCTTACTGCATTTATTGTTCTTCCTGAAGCCTTTTTCAGGATTCTGTTGTCTGCTTCTGCACTTTGTTGATGGTTTCCTTTGCAGTGCAGACACTTCTTAGCTTGATGTAATCCCATTTACTCTTTTCTTTAATTAGCTGTGCTTCTGGGGTCTTTTACAAGAAGTCTTTGATTGTGTCTATATCTTGCATGTTTTTCCGATGTTTTGCTTTAGTAATTTGATGGGATCAAGCCATGGATTTAATCTTTGATCCGTTTAGAGTTGATTTGTGTGTGAGGTAAAAGGTAGGGGGTTGGTTTCATTCCTCTGTGCACATAGTTCCAATTTCTTCAGCACCATTTCTTGAAGAGATTATCTTTCCCCTCTGGATTGATTTTAGCTTGTTCATTAAAGACTAGCTGGATGTAGGTGTGTGGATTCTTCTTGGGGGTTTCTGTTTTGTTCCATTGGCCTACAGCTGTTTTTGGTGCTGTTTTGGTGCTGTTTTTGCACCAATATCAAGTACTTTTGAGTTTTGTTTTTCAGAACAAAATTTTATTGAAATACAGTGTGCATATAAGTGTATAAATAAGTATATAAATAAATGAGTTTTTGATCCTCTGCCCATACTCACAGCCAATATCTGAATTAAAAACAAAGTGTTATTAGTACACCAGGAATCCTTGTCCACCCTACCCCATATATTTTTTTTAATGTGGAAAGGAAGAATATGATGTCATTTCCATGGTGTACCTCAGTGAAGCAATTCTTATAGCAACATACCAAACATTTCATCCACACAGTTTTCATGATTTCTCTGTAAATGACCATGAACGAGAGCAATCCACGGACTATCAGTACATTTTACTCTGGATTATTTTCCTCACCACAGTGATCTCCAGTTGAATCTTTTTGGTTGCAAATGTCAGTATTTCATTCTTTTTCATGCCTGCATAATATTCCATCTCTCTCTTACACACACTTTCTTCATCTGATAGCTAAATATGGAATCAACGTAGATGTATATCAGCTGATGGCTGGGATTTCCTTCTTTCAAATGTTGCATTGTGTTCCATTGTGCGTGGGTATACAAACTCACTAACAGGAAAACAGCCTGAATAAAAATAGGAGCAAAATATGTATAGGTATTTGTTACAAAACAAATGCTTCATAGATGAATAAAGAAGTGCTCAATCTGGCTATATCAGGAAATTGAAAATTAAGACAACAATGAGTATCACTCCACACTTGTTAGAATGAATATTACCAAAATAATGAACAATTGTTGACAAGGATATAGAGAATTCTAAATAGAAAAAAAATAAAGTTTACTGATGGATTTATTGGTCTTTGTCAATTACTTGCTGTTTGGTATAGGTTTTTGTCCATTTTCGAGATTAGATTGGTAATTTACCCAGAAATTTCTCTTGATTGTATGAAATTTTTAACTCTTGAAATTCCAATTTAGTTTGACTTCTATTTTTCTCATAAAAATGCCCTTTATTATTGGATACTTTTTTTTTGTTAAAAATAAGTCACCTCTAAAATTACCTTGGCTTTAAGCCATTGTCAGCAAGAGCATATTTTAACACTTAAAAGTCTCCCTAGTTATTGATCTGTTCTAGTCCTCTACTCTTCGAGGTACAGCATAATGCTTGTAGGAAGAGATTGAGCTGAATAGGGAATATTGAGAAAACTAATTCAAAGTAGTGCTGTTTTATAGAGGACCTCACATGCCACTTTGAAGAATATATCTTTATCCCATTAAAAATAAGAGATCATTGAAAGGACATTTTTTTTTTGAGAAAAGAGATCTTCATTGTGTATAATCAAGTCTTACAACTCCAGAGCTATGAATGTACTAATACAAATTTGAAAAAATTAAATATTGAGATATAAGCCAAAAGTAATTACTACATTCTTTCAGAGTAATATTTTATTGCATTGCTCTTTTATTTGGTAGAAAACATTCAAGACTTTTCTTTAAGTTACAGTAAAATAAAAGCTCAAAAACCTTACTCAGAGATAAAATCTTTTGAGACTCATGATGCATGCTGCTTTTGAAAGACCTCCGTTCTCAATCTGCAAGCATGGCTGCTTGCATACTCTTTGCCAATCTGCTGTTGGTTTCATAATACAGCCTTCTTGAACATCCGTTCATCTTCCTCCTTGAGTTTATTTAAGCATTTTAAGAGATGACAACTTACCAGTTTGTTTCTTCTGCTTTGATTCATTGTCCTCTTTATTTCATTTGAAAAAAAAAACAACAGATAAACATCACATTATTAATTAATTTAAAGTAAGTTTTTTGTGAGTTGATTTCAAAATTGTGGTCAAAAGTCCATGAGAAAAGAATCCAGTTTTTGGATGCAATAGCTTCTATCCATAAAAGAGTAAATTCCCATTTATTTGGGAACATCTTCAGTGCCAAAGGCCCTGTGACTTCTTTTTATAGTATTACATATCTTTCTTAAAAAGAGTTATTCATTTTCATTTGAAAGGTAGATTTACAGATTCAAGGAGAAACAGAAGGAGATCTTTCATCTGCTGGTCACTGTCCAATGGTCAGACTGACTGGAGGTGAGCCAGTCTGAGGCCAGAAGCCAGGAGCTTATTCCTGATTTGCCTTGTGGAATTCAGGGTGTCAGCCACTGGGAATTCCCAGGTCACAAGCGCAGGGAGCTGGATGGGAAGTGAAGCAGCTGGGACACCAACTAGCATCCATATGGGATGCTGATGCCACTGAGCTGACTCCCACCATTCTATAGCTTAACTCTTTTATTCATTTTGAGTCAGAGGGAAAAAGGGAAAGAGACACAGAGACAGAGATGATCTCTCCGCTGGACCACACCCCAGTTATCCATAGGAGCTGGAGATGGTCCAAGTCAGAACCAGGAGCTGGGAACTGACTGCAGATCTTTCATGTGAGTGGCAGGGGTGCAACTCTTGAGATATCACGTGCCACTTCTCAGAGTGCACAGTAGCTGGAGTGCAGGCATTGACAGCCGACTGAAGACAGGCCCCTACGATGACATCTCAACAACTGCCAGAGGGCCACCCATCCACAGCAGCTTCCACTTTCTCATTGTACTCATTTTCTAAAATAAGGGATTATTTTACTTTTCTAGAGAACAATTTTGTATAAATCAAAGCTTATCATGTTTTGGACATCCAATAAAAGTAGAATATCACACTTATTTCAGTGACATACATCTATAATAAAGTATAGTAAGGGAAATAAAATGAGTAAGTGTGTAATTGGTATGCAGTATAATCTCTAAACATGTAAATGTATATAATCAACTATGCATTATCTCTAAACTGTTCATATGCTTTTTGCTATTAAGAGGATAACCAAACTCTTGAGAGGCGAGAAGAAGCAGTCCCAAATTGTTATTAAAATGTGAAAATTAGTTGTATAGATACATCAAGAAGAAAAAACATGTATATTTTATGATATATATGTGTGTGTGTGTGTATTTTCTTTTTCTAGGACATACCGAGGGAGAGCATATTTTAAACAACGCTTTTACAAGCAAGCAACACAAGACCTTTCTGCTGCGGTTCACTTAGATCCTAATAACTGGTTAGCGTTGTATTACCGAGCTTGCTTATTTAGAAGGAGTAACCCATTTCGAGCACTGCAGGATTACAGTGTCTCAGGTACTGTTCCTTCAGCTGCATATGCACAGGCACCTGGTCTGAGCGTCAGGTAGTACATGTATTCTATAGAGAATATATTTTTTTCATGTAGGCCTGTGCATATACCACAATGATGTAGCTAATAAACTGTTTTGAATAGATCTTTTCAGTGTATTTGTGGCAGGAGAAGACCACAGATCAAAGACATCTGTGTCTATGTATTGGACTCCTAAGAATTTTTCTGGAAATGTGGATCTGTTAGTTTGCCAAACTGGCATTCACTTGTTCTGGCAGCTTGTGTGCTACTTTCAAGCTTCAGCCCATGAAATTGCAAATTCCAAGTTTTTGATTCTTAAATTAGAAGTGGGCTTTGAGGATCCTTAGTAGACAGAGAATGTCAATAGCTAAATTTGTTCATTTTGACTTTACCCTTAATCATTGGATTCTTGGTTTTTGTATATGCCCAATATAGTTCTGGGTGTAGACTAAGTTCTTAGTGAATAGAGTCCAGGGGAATGAATGAGTCCATACTGGCTGACAAAATCCAGCCAGATCACAGTACCCCAAACAGGTCTGTTTTCCAGCTGGGCACAAAGTCCCTGGAGGCAGTGTCCTGAGATCCTTTCCCCAACCCTTGTAAATCAGCCACAAGAGTTTATTGTCCATAATCAGAAAGGACATTCCAAGTATTTCCTTAGCTAACAATAATGTCTAACCGTTGTTGGGCATTTCACTTTTCCCAATCACTGTGAATCGTAACTTACCAAATGAGTACATTAATCATAGATTTATTTTCTGTAAAGTTATAAAAACAAGGGTAGGTATTTAGTTCAGCATTTGAGATGTCGCTTAGGATGACTGCCTGGGTTCATATCCCAGCTCCACTTCCTGCTTATACACAACCTGGAAGGCAATAGGTTATGGCTCAAGTACTTAAGTCTCTGCCACCAATTTTGGAGACCTAGCTTGAGTTTTAAGTTTTTGGCTTTGTCCTGGTTCAGTCCCAGATATTGCACCCATTAGGGGACTGAGCATGTGGAGAGAATCTAGCTCTGTTGCTCTTTCAAACACACACACACACACACACACACACACACACACACACACACACCGTGTAAGCCATAGGAAGGCTATAGACTAAAATATAACTCAGAAATGTTTGTTTAAATAATGTGCATGTATATAAATATGTATATTTTTGATTTTTAAGCTCTTATTAATGATGGCTATGAGAATCTTAGCTGTTTTCTACATCGGGGCATAATCTATGCAAATCTAAAACTATGGATGCTGGCCATTTGTGACTTTGAAACTGCGATTTCTCTGGAGCGGTATGCTTTCCTTTTCATGTGAATTGATGTCACTTTTGTGTAAAATTAGAACAGACAAGAGGAAAGAAAATATTTTTGGTCTTCTCATTAATAACATCAGGAAATGAGAAAATCATGATATTGCGTTAATGCTAGAATACTACTAAAATAATATTACTGCCAAAAATAAGACTTAGTTTCAATGTCTGCCTCAGATGCTTGCGCAAATTTTTGAGACTAAATAGGTTTGAGTAAAGTCAGTGATAATAAATCAAGTTGTTAATAGGAGGTGAGAATATCTAGAACCTTTTGAAATTAACTTCATTGAAAACTATCAAGTTTTTGAAAGGAAGATCAGTTGTTCTATTTGATGTCTTGTTGCTGTGCTGTCCACTGCATATAACTTAATTGAAAGAAACCTTCTATGTAGGTTTTCTCCATTGAATTGATTTTTGTTTAGGAAAGCAAAAGGAAATAAAGTACTGTTTTCACCATAAGATCAGGAAGAAATACAATCTGAGAATTACACCCATCAATTAAAAAAAGCCAAGCTATCAGACACATAATTTAATTAAATGGCTCTTTCCAATGAGTCGTTTATTACAATGGCTTCTGTCAGAAAGGGTTACAGATCCTGTCAATTCCATGCCCACCAGCACACTGTGTCTTGGGCTTTATCCAAGATGAATTTTGAACTTCAATTTGAATTTGGATTTGAGAAGTCATGGATTACATATTCATTAATACCCACAATGGTTTTCTTTGGGACATTTTAAGCTAGAAAGGGAAAGAAAAGATGTGCCAAGAGTTATGGGGAAAGAAACAAGTTTCGGGTCCTGGAAGGAGGTCACAACCTGATAGTACCAGCACATTGGATGCCTGGTTTCTTCACCTTGAAATAGACAGTGAACCAAGATCATTTCTAAGGTGATTTCCAGAGTGAAATAGAAAAGCAACTACCATAATGCCCTTGCAGGGAAAGCCTATGCTGCCAACCCTGAGAATGGTTCTGTTTCCCATGATTACTCATAGCCTAAAGCAAACACTTTGGAATTGAAGAAACCTAAACTCATTATTCAAGATAGTTCAAGATTAGATCAATGAACAATAGATTGCTTGAGTCTGGAAGATTTTAGGAATTCTATTTTGAGCAGGGACTACACATGTTAATTCTTTACCAAGGATTTTGTATAAGTGTTTATACTTTTTTATAGGGCAATTAATTTGCTGTGCTTTTGTAAAACATTAGAAAAAAAGATCCTGGATGTATATAGTTGTATGTATTTCATGATATACATTCACAAATAAGTCTAAATCATTCATTATTGGAATATTTATAATAATATAAATAATTTTGTTTTCTCATTTTTCCAGAGCTATTGTTTTGCCTTACATAAATATTGGCCTCATACATTTGTTACACCTAGATAACTATACCGAAGCCATTGGGCAGTTTTCTGAGGCCATTCGAATCGACCCTTTGTATATTCAAAGCTATAGTTGCCGAGCAGAAGCCTTTCATAAGGTATTTAAGTTTTGGGAATCATGATTTTAAAAAAATTGCTTTAGTTTTGTGAGTATTCAGTGCAATTTTGAGCTGTATTCGTTAGCACATTGTAGGGGTTAATGCACTCATAAGCAAAATATTTAGCAAATATAGTTACTAACTTATACCCTTATAAAGTATCTATTTCCAAGCTGTAAATTATTAAGCCTTTGATTTTATTAAACATGTGCTTTTTCCTTATTTTAAAGACAGATATTTATGAAACGTAATGTGCTTATTTCAATAGCAGCCAATTAGGAAGGTTGATTTTCTTCTCCCTAGATAATTGGTATGATCAGTTTTATGCCATAGCAGTTACAGCTCCCATTTATAGTGCTGATGTCCCATAGGGGCACCGGTTCATTGTCCCAGCTGTTCCACTTCCAATCCAGTCCCCTGGTTTTGCAACTGGGAAAGGCAGTGGAAGATGGCCCGAGTGTTTTGATCTCTGCACCCATGTGGGAGAGACCTGAAAGAAGCTCCTGGCTCCTGGCTTCTACCTGGCCTAGCCTGGGATATTGCATGTTGCAGCCATCTGGGGAGTGGACCAGTGGGTAGGGGATCTCACCCCCTATCTCTCCCTTTCTCTGTAACTCTGTTTAGACTCTGTTCTGAGAAGCAGATATTTGTACCTGATAATACCCGATGTGAGCTGTAGTGTATTCACATCATGGAATCATAGAGTCACTCTATATTTGCCAATTTGGAGGGATTACCCATGAGGTATTTTTGAGTAATTTAAACAAGGTTCAGAAAAGACTGTAAAGTGTGTACAGCTTCCATGAAATTAATAAACTAACCCTTGCCTAAGTATGTAAAAGGCTATATTCTCCCACTCTGTGGGCCTGGCATCCAGAGTGAATCTAATTTAAGGTTTCTTCAAGAGATCTAAACCCAGGAAGGCTTGGAAAGAGTGAGCTTCCGTCTGTAGTTACAAGCCCAGATTTTGTCAATGCAGTGAAGACCAGATGATTCATGACTTATACCAGCCTAAGCAGGATCAGCTAGGGATAGATTGTAGCTCCACAGAAATACTCAAATTTGTTTTAACAAACGCCAAACTTTATCCTTTGGGTTCCCAGCTTTAATTCCAGCCACTATTTGTCCCTAACAATTTGTATCTTTCTGAAATGTGCTATATACCTCAATTCACAAATTAGTTTTGTGAGTTCTCCTCTTTGCATCATTATGTTATTAGAGTAAGAACCAGAGATGGTTGTCCTGGGTTAGTTTTGTTGATATTTGTGTAGTCTCTCAATATGTAAAGCTTCAGATTATTTAATTTAAAGAATTTTAACAATTTAAAGAATCGCTGTTTGCTTTTCATTACATATTGATGCTGTAAATTTCTTTTCTTGCATCATTGTTAAGTTTAATTTATTCATTTACCTATTTTTGATGGAAGTCTGCTTTTTCCATTATATTTTTCAATGGAATTAGCTTCTTTTTATTTTTGCTTCCTTTGCATTTTAATGTTTTCTTTTTTAGCATTGGGGAAATTAAGTTAAAAATGTTATTGTTGAGGGAGAAAAATTGAAAAGTTAAGTGAAAAATGAAACCAACTTACACTTTGATATGTGATGTAATTATATTTATGGAAATGTGTATGTAACCATTTCTCAAAGTTAAATGAAAAAAGACTGTGCCATAAACTTCACAAACACCATTTCTATATCCATTTTCCTTGATGATTCCAAAGACAATCATGTAGTAGGAAATATCTCTGCAGACTTTCTATAGTAAAGGGGGAGAGGATAAACAGAAGAGCAAGTTTTCTTAGGAGGTAAGTCTGTTTGTCATTCAACAGGTGAATAAGTTGAAAAAGGCAGTAAGTGATTTATCCCGTGCTATACACCTTCAGCCAGATGGAATCCAATTATATATAATAAGGTACGAACCTAAATATTGAATTCTTCTTGGGATAACTTGATGTCTGAGCAAGTGGTTGGGATCTTTTGTTGTCTCATGATTTTTTTTCAGTATTCTCCTGTTACATTTTTTCTTAAAAATGACATATTATGACATATTTGAAGATTTATTTATTATTTTTAAAAGTTTTTAAAGATTTATTTGTTATTTTTATTGGACCGTCAGATTTATAGAGAAAAGGAGAGACAGAGAGAAAGGTCTTCTGTCTGCTGGTTTACTCCCCAAATGGCAACAACAGCCAGAGCTGAGCTGATCTGAAGCCAGGAGCTAGGAGCCAGGAGCTTCTTCTGAGCCTCCCACTTGCGTGCAGGGTCTCAAGGCCCTGTGGACCATACTCCACTGCCTTCCCAGGCCTCAGCAGAGAGCTGGAAGGGAAGGGGAGCATCTGGTACGCAAACTGGTGACCATTTGGAATGGATCCTGGCTCCTGCAAGGTGAGGATTTAGCCACTAGGTTATCACACCAGTCAGATTTAGTTGCTGATTTATCACACCAGTTAGATTTAGTTGCTGAGCAACTGCCATCTCCTGGCAAACAAGCTGGAAGTAGTTACCGTTTTTGATTAAACCTAAAATCATTTTTTTTTACCTGGGATAAGCAGATTCCTCCCTTTGCTCTACCTTTGCAAGAAAATGCAGCTGTTTACTGGTTAAGTTCTGTGAGGCCTTTCCAGATGGATAGTTGCATTTTTATCACTTACCTCCTGAAAGTCGGGTAACCTAGTTTGAACAGTTGTGACTGTGTCTACAGAGGTACCAGACGTAAACCTTAGGTAACTGTAAAAAACAAAGACTGATCTATGGAATTGCATTTCACATATAGTGGGGCTTGCAATGCAGGGGCCCTTTGCAAGCCATGAATTAGCATTGCTAAAATACACTGTAGTGTCGAGGGATTTATAGAGCTGACAAAATGAAATGAAAGAATGATTTTTGATGCAGCCTTACTTTCCTCCTGATTCATGTTTTAACGATTTGTTTGAATACACCCTCTTTTTGTCTCCTGGTAAAACAACAATGCATTTGAAAATTTTTCCTCCATCATAGCTTTTGAAATTTTTATCACAGGTTTATGCTAATTTAGAATCATTGAAACAAATAGAATGTTAATAGTTTTCGCATTTTTATGATTAAATATGTAAATATGAATGGATGCATTTTAACTGTAAAGTTTTAAGGACCTGGTTGTAAGAAACTGTATTTGAAAAAATAGTAATTTTAGCTGCTTAGACTCTTAAAGCTGTTGTTTCTTTCAGAGGACAATATCTTCTTATGATGAAAAACTATGAACTTGCAAAGTTCACTATTTATCAAGTAGCAGAAATGAACAGAGGTAAATATAGTTGATGCAAAATTAAATTGGGTTAATCTAAAAATGCCTCTAACTTTTTATACTGCTTGAGCAGCTGTATGCAAATAGCATCATTTGCCATCCAAGTGAGATTTCAGAACTTCAGTTTCACGTGTACCTTGTCAAGTTCTAAGATAATCCTTAGTAGTGAATGTCTGGAGGCATACTGTTCCAGGAAATATAAACCTTGAAATTATACTGTTTGACATTGTCACAGAATTTCTCATTATTTCCTGATGGTAAACAGTTTTGGCATAGTATTGATTTGTTAATTCAGAGAAAATTCATTATATTGCTTGATTTCATTAGAATAATTATTCTCTATGTCTTTGATGCCTGGTAAGGGTTATGATATGCTTTTGTTTCCTTTGAGGTCTCATTGACTTGACTCCCATTCAACAAGCACTCATCTATTCATTTTGTGAAAACCATCAGAAGGCCATTCAGGTCTTAGAAGGACTCACGTGGCATAGACCTGACATAGTCCTGTTTGCTGTAATAGCAAAAGCGCATATGAAGGCAAAAAGAACCAAGGTGAAGAGTCATCTGAGTAACACTGACTAACTGGAATGTATGGACTGTGCTTAGTTTGACATGTAACTAGTATAAAACTAAACCAAATCAGTTTATAAAACTCAGTTATACTAACTGGTATATTCTTTGTTGATTAACATCTAGTTATTTTCCGTTTTTCCTTCTGAAGAATAGTCTCTCTAAATATTCTTGTTTTAACCTGTGGAGTAGCTTTCTGAAGTCTGTTGCCAGAAAGTATGGATGAATGTTTAGCTTTCAAGAAAATGACACAAACGGTACACATTAAATGTTCCTGTTGATGTGTGTCCTAGTCAATAAGTGGTGGAGCCAACTTTACTTTTGGCAATCTGAATAATAATTGGTCTTCCGCTCTTTTGTGAATTGCTTTCCATAAGTCTGAGCATCAGTTGAGTGCTTTGTATGTTTATCAGTCACTCATGTTCTGTTAATCTCCTACCCCTACCCTTCTGCTTGTCTCTTTCTCAGTGCTTTGGGGCATTTGGAAATACATTCTCTAATCTTTTCGTACATATTCTCACAGTTCTGTTTCTCTAGAAATGCTCTTTTTGGTGTCTTTGGGTGAACAGAGGTTCTTATTTTAATGTATATAACTTAAAAAAATTTCTTAGGGCTTATCTGCAAAAAGATCCTTTTTACTAAAGAGTTGGCTTTGCTTTTCTCATGTGACACCCGCCTCTGTTTTTTTTTTTTTAAGTGGGAAAGAATGGAAGAATTTTACTAGTCCCCATATGGATATCCACATGTTTCAGTATTACATATTGAAATAGCCTGATTAGCACAGAGATCTGAAATACTGTATCATAAATTTTTATATACACAGTAATCATGAAATAACATTCCTAATTGGAAAACCGCTTTTTATTCATTTATGAGTATTTAGGCTAAATAATTAAATAGCTGATTTTTGTCAGTGGTTTGTTCTGTGATGTCTGTAGAACCCCATGAAGAACATAGAAGTATATAATAAAGGTTGATTAAAACTGTATCAGGTAGTTTTAGTGGGTGTTAGGATTATTGGCTAAGATGATTGCATCCCTTATTGATGTGCCTGGGTTCCAGTCTCTGTTCTGACTCCTGAGAGCTTTTTGCCAATGCATAGCCTGGCTCCTGCCATTTATGTGGGAGACCTGGTTTGTGTTCCAGGAGCTGCCAAAGCTCCTGTCTTTGGCAACGCCCAGCTCCAGCTCCTGTGAATATTTGTGGAGTAAACCAGTAGATAAGAGTGTTCCTGTCTCTTTTTCTCTCTGTGTCCCTTGATATTTAAAAGAATCAATTCGGGCACGGCATGGTAAGCCTAGTGGCTAAACTCCTTGCCTTGCATGCGCTGGGATCCCATATGGGCACCGGTTATTGTTCCAGCTGCCCCACTTTGCGTCCAGCTCCCTGCTTGTGGTCTGGGAAGGCAGTCGAGGACAGCCCAGGGCTTTGGGACCTTGCACCGTGTGGTAGGCCAAGAGGAGGCTCCTGGCTCCTGGCTTCAGGTCAGCTCAGCTGCAGCCATTGTGGCCACTTGGGGAATGAATCAGCAGATGGAAGATCTTCCTCTCTCAGTTTCTCCTCTTTTCTGTATATCTGACTTTTCAATAAAAATAAATGAATCTTAAAAAAAATTCAATTCCATTTTTAAAGCTAAATCAGGTAATATTCATTAAGATCTTCTATAACCTCATAGCATCTCAATATATTTAGAACAATTACTAGAAAATTGATAATTAATGAGTTCATGAAGTTGTCTTGACAACACTATAACAAAATAGCCTTTAGAATTTAGAATGTATAGTTTTCAAAATCAGTATGTGCAAACCTGAGCTGTAGAATTGGTCCCTGTTTGGCCTGGTAGAGATCAGATTCCCTCATAGAACCCCTTCCCAGAGTGGAACTGATGAGAAATGTGGCCTTACCAGATTGATGTGTTTACACGTGTAAAGAGGGTAGGGCGTTGTGTCCCAGGTTTCTTTTAATATACAGATTGAATGTTAAATACTTAACAACTTTCTTCTTGTTTTAAAAATCATTGTAGGAAGCCGTGAGAAGGTTTAAGGAGGCGGTGGATGCTTTTGCTCTTTCTGACCGAGGACCTAATGCCATGGGTGTTTTAGCAGACTGTCTGCATAACCTGGGCCTCTGTTACACAGAGGAAGGCAACTTCCAAACGGTATTCCACGTATTTAGGAAATGCAGTTTTAGAAACTCTTTGTATTCATTCTGTTTCTGCAGGCTGCCTGTACAATGATTGAATACTCCAAAACCTCTTAAAAAAACTTACACTCAGTCTGCACCCTGAATACTTATGACTGTTTTAAATCGAAACATTTTGTACTTCTTCACAATATTATAATGGCTAATATGTATTTTCTGCCAAAACATTAAGTCTGATGGGAACAATCTATTCTAGTAAAATAATCTCATTGCATTGATATGAATTTGGTTATTAAATCTTGAGTGGTCTTCACCAAGCGCTTCAATATAATGCAGAGTGAGTGGAGAATGAATAGAACACTCTTGACTTTTCTTATTGACAGTGGGATAATTCAGATTAGATTGAAACTGATTATTAAGATGGGCAAATTCACTGAAAATGCTTGATTCAATTATAGATATATTCAGTCTTTAGTTTTTTGCACAGTTCTCCACTTTTAATCGTAACTGATAGGTTATATAGATAATTTATATTTTCCAATGGTTAATGTTGGATATTCTATAATCTGCATGTGTGGATACACACACAAACACACACATCATTCTAATCATTCCTATATTCCTGGGATGGATATTATTCTAAATTTGGATTTCTGTGAACTAGAAAAAAGTTTTTACTTAACCAGTTGTTTAAGGAAAAAATTCTAGTCGGTACACAATCAGTCACTAGTGGTTTTTTTGCTCTACTTTATTGGGAAAATTTTGATATTTTATTGTTTTGGAATTTTATAACTGTGTTTGGTATGGGTTTTGGAAACTTGTGAGAAAATAAAACATATCACTTGTGATTTCTTTGAAGAAATAAAAGACAAAGATGAATTATGATAATGATACTCTCAAAAGTATTACAGTTTAACAACTTGGATTGTATAAATGTTAGTCTGTGAATAGGAAAAGGAGGCCTTTAGTTATAAAAAATAAACATGATTTTTTTTCTAAATACTATGAGGGTGATTGTGAGACATGTTTTGAAACTGATAAAGTAGTGAAGCTTTTCTAAAACCAATAATATGCTGTCATTTACTGATATTGTATCACTGTTTGGGCTGTGTTCTAATTCCTCTAGGCATTTGAATATTTTACAAAGGCTGTGAAAGTAAATCCTGATTTTGCAGAAAGCTTTTACCAACGAGGGCTTTGTAAAGCAAAACTCCACAAGGATAACTCAATTCTGGATTTTAATCGTGCAATTACTCTCAACCCCAAACATTACCAGGTGTGTAGGGAAATGATGCCAGTGACCTACAGAGTGTGCCAATTTTGATAAAACTATTAAGTGCTTTACATTGCCAATGTTATTGGTTACCAATAGTTGGTTATCATACCTACTTTTTAAGTAATTTTAATTTGATAATCAAAGATATATACATTTTCTGTTGAATTGTAGGGTGATTTCCATCAAGGATGCTATATATATATATAAAATGCATTGTGAATTGTGATATATTTTAATATTATTGATACAGTGAATTAGCTATTAATAATACAAATTTTATATACTGTATTGCTCTTTTTATTTACTTTCTCTTTTTTTGCTGTCAGATTGATTCCTATATTCTGATAGGCTTTAGGAACAAGGCAAAACAAGACAAAAAGTGGTTAGATTTTGAGAAACTTTTTATGAAATTTTTATGAAAATTGAATATTTGGATTAATTAGTAATCATTGTCTTTGTAGTGGTAGCACAGTTACACAGGGGAATACCTTTTCTTTCAAAGAAGAAAGTACTTACTGGAAAGTATGACATTTATAAATTCCAGAAAATTGGAGAGAACAATGATGACAGGCAAAATGTTAACAATTATTAAATTTAGATGATCTTTATGTGTGTGCGTTCATTGTATTATTTTAAAATTTTTTCTGTGTCTTTGGTTATTTTTCTAATGAAAGAGAGAGGAGAAAAAATACTATTAGTACCAGTTGTGTTTGAGATAGATTTGGCCAAACTACCACATACTTTTACCTTATTGACACTTTTATTAAACATGTATTTCTGTTTTCCTCTTCTGTTTCTGCAAAAGGCATATTTAAGCCGAGTAGCCTACTATGGTTTAAAAGGTAGATATTCCAAAGCAATCTTGAATTGTAATGAGGCCATCAAAATTTGTCCCAAAAATGTACGTGCCTATCTCTACAGAGGAGTTTTGAAATACTACAATAAGGTGAGGCATTTCCTGCTGATTTATGAAGTTTAAAATATCAATTAAAAATAGACATGTAACAATATGCTGTTTTATGGGTTCTCTGTGGGGTTTGGTTGCAGGTATATTATGATATCCAATCATAATAATGCATGTCTCCCTTCAGGCATTTAACATTGCTTTAACATACAAAACTTCTATCTTCTAGTTTCTTTTAATATAAAAATATACAGTAAGTTAACATTATCTTACTTCTATGAAGCTATAAACTAGTACCCATCTATGGTCCTTTTCCAGTCCCTCCTGTCTTTTTTTCCGAACTTCGGGAAACCATAACTATGTTTTTAACTTCTATGAGCTCACCTGCAGATGAGATAATGTGATATTTGTCTTCCTTTGCTTTAGTTATTTCTCTGAACATAAAGACCTCCAGTTTTATCCAAGCTGCTGCAAATGATAAGATTTCATCCTTTTTATGGCAGAGTAATATTCCATTCTATAGATGCACCACATTTTCTTTATCCATTCATTAGTTTATGGGCAGCTAGGTTGTTTCCATTTCTGCCTATTCTGAATATTGCAGCAATAAACATGAGAGTACAGATTTTTTTTTTTGTCAGATGGATTTCATTTGCTTGGTTGCTGAAGCAAATAATCTATTTTTAATTTCTGAGGAACCTCCATTTTGAGTGAGGTATATTTGTCCAAAAGCTTGTACATTGCTTCTGGATTATTGATTGTTTCCCATACTGTTAACAATATTGTGTATTTTTATGATAGGCAGTGGTAATCTATTTTTATCTCTATTTTTTTGTAATGTGCTATTTGTCTCTGTTAGGCTAGCTAAGGGTTCATTAATTTTGTATATATTTTCAAAGAATCAGCTCTTCATCTTGTAAAATGTAATCATTTATCTTTCTGTAACTTATTTATGCTCTGAGTTTCAATATTTCTTTCCTCTTGCCAAGTTTTATTTGATTTCTTCCTTTTTTTCTCATTGCTTGGCATATAGCGTTGAGGCATAGCTTGAGGTATGGCTTTCTCTGGGCAGGCACTGACTGCTATGAATGTTCTTAAGGCTGCTTTTAGTATAGCCCACAGGGTTTTCTATGTTTTGCTTCCAATTCATTTGTTTCAAGAAATGTTTAAATGATCTTCATGATTTCTTTCTTGACCCATTGGTTGTTCAGGAGTTAAGTTTCATGTGCTTGTGCAGCTCATAACAGTTTGTTGCTACTGTTCTCCAGATTTGTCGTGCTGCATGTACATTTCCACAACTAACCCACTGAATCTTTCCTTTTGAATCTTGTTGAGTTTCCCTAAAAGAGTTATGTTGTAAACTGTATCTGGCACCTTATTTTTTTTTTTTTTTAAATGAGGCCATGTTTTCCTGGAGGTTCCTGTTGATTGTGGAAATACACTGTCATCTGCACATTGACCAAGTGCTTTCACTTGTGGCTGTCTTGCTAGAAATTCTAAGCAGTCTGTCTGATGTGAGCTGTGATCTGTCTGCTGCTGAGATAGGCTGAACTAGGTTAGCTGCTGCTGATGCTGTGGAGTATGAGACTGTACAACCAGGACCATGGACTTCCACTGAGCATTCTAGAAGTTGCAGAAGTTTTGTCTGCAGCCACAGGCGTAGAAGAAGGGACTGTTAGAATCTGCTCAACTTTGAATTTTATCAGCCTTGCATTGAGTTCCAGAGAAGTCCCATGATTACTTGCTGTCTGCCCAAGCTTATAGGAGGGGTGCACCAGGTACCTCTTGAGCTACTCAGGCCCCATGTGTGTCACAACTGGGTCTTGACAGGCATCAGGCTCTGTGCAATCTTGGTACTGTACACAAATGTGTCTCACCAGGCATGGGTCTCTACCTAATATTGGGGTATAAACAGAGACTTTGTCCAAAGACACTAGCCCCTAGGATTGCCCAGCCTTGGGTTTTACCTGCACTGCACTGATTTTTAAGACACTGTCCCTTGACTCCTTGTTGTCTGCTCAAGGTTGGAGAAGGATGAAAAAGGAAAATTAGCTCCAGGTTGATCACACCTTGGTCCCACAGTCCCTGAGCCTTGTACATTCCTGGGTGTGTCCTCCAGGCCCACATTGCCAAACTGATTCGGATGTGCTTGAGCACAGGTGCCCACCTACTGCCAAGCAAGATTCCCAATTTGTGAGCACTGGCTGGGTGCAGACCTTAGGGCCAATTATTAGTTTCTTCTGATGCTGCTTTGTCTGGCAGGCCTGACCATGTAAAGCCACCATCCTGAACCTTCTCTGCCAGCCTCTCCCTGCAGCTGGAGACTTTAAGCTGATTACTGGAGGCCATCTGATGGAGATCCTCAGGCTGTGGAAACTCCAGGTAGTGTGAAGGTGACAGCCTGGGACAGGAGACTGTGTTCAGCCCAATTACATTTTTTTTTTCTGGTGGCCTTGACACCAGGATTCAGTTTGCCCTGCTTCTCCATCCTGTGTTCGTTGGAGCTGAGGGTGGGATGGTACAGGTGACTCTGTACTTGTTGCATTCTTCGAGGTGAGCTTCCTGGTGATTATCAACAGGATGAGGTACTACGGTGTCTGCTGATTGGAGGCTCTGATGAAGGTGACTGGGGATATGTGTTGCTGTTCGTGGTGGTCTCTTTGGGGAGGTGGTCACCAGAGTTCTTACTCATTATGGTTCCATAATGACAGTTTTTAGCAGGCAGGTTCTCTGGGTGCAGAACAGGGACTCTTCCTTCTTCTCCTGTACTAAGAGAATTGCGATGGTCTGAAGGGTAAAAGCACACTGAAAACTTTACAGTGCATCAAGATGGAAGGTTCTGTATGTGTCTGTTAAGTCCATTTGTTCTATTGTCTGTGTAAGATCTGTTGTTTTTTTTTTTTTTTGCTGAGTTTCTGTCTCATTGATCTGTGTATTGATGTTAAAGGGGTGTTGAGGTTTCCCCACTCTTATGGTATTGACATCTATCTCTCTGCTTACGTCCGTCAATAATGGTTTCATATAGCTAGATGCCCCTGTATTTGGTGTGTATACATTTATTATTTATTATTGTTATTTCTTCTTGGTGGATGGCTCCCTTTATCATTATGGGATGCTCTTTATCTCTCAATGTTTTTCATGATGAAATCTATATCATGTGATAGCAGAATGGGTATACTGGCTCTTTTTTCTTTTCCATTGGCATGAAATGTTCTTTTCTATCCTTTCACTCTCAGCTTCCTTTGATCGTTGTTGATTAGGTGTGTCTCTTATAGGCAACAGATATTTTGATCCTGTTTTTGATCCATTTTGTTAATCTATGTGCGCACTCCCAACAATGGCTGCCTTCCCTGATTGGCCATCTTGTTGTCTCCCCATTATTTATTTAACCTTATTAAGAAAATAATATCTGTCCATCTGCAAGAATGTGGAAAATAAAGCACTGTCTCACCTTATATCACTTACATAATTTGTCTTGTGCCTGCCTCTTGCACTTCTGCTTTGAAGCTACTGTGCGACTGCTAACCCACCTTTATTTTTAACCACTTGGCTGATGGAAGTCTGTAGTATTTAATTTTTAAAATTCTTTTACTTATTTTAATAATGCAGTTATATATACTGAGAATCAAATCATTGCTTGGGTTTAAGATTGGTTCCTAAACTGATCTCATCTGGTTAAAGGATATGGGCAGCAACACTGACGTCTGATACTGTATGGAATATTTTGTTTCTCCCTGTTTTTTTTCCTGACCTTTCTTTATAGCTTTTCACATGAAATATTTTGTGATGAGTACCTCACCACAAAGGTAACACCCTTTCAAGGAATTATATTTTAATTCCTTGAAAATTACTACATATGGAAAGGAATAATATAAGGCATCAGGGCAGAATCAAAGAGGAAGTGTAAGTGAATGAAGGCAGAAACCACGAAGGGTTTGGGGTCAGTGTGAGCAGCAGAAGCAAGCAAGTTTTGGTGAATGTTTGCTGGTTAAGTGTGAGTTGGCTGCTTTTGCCAGTAAGTGTTAATTTTCAGCTCACTGTTTAGCAGCATTGGTTTTCACACATTTAATTTTATCTTCAGGTAAGAGAAACTAAGAATAATTTCTATCTGGTGCTGATATTAATTGACTGTGGAAGATTGGTGTGATGGTCTCAATCATGCAGATGATTGAGACTAGTGCCAATGTTCCAAGAAGTGATAGAATCAACATTGTATTTTATAATTAAATTGCAATCCCTCATGCTTACCTTTCTCATAAGTTATTTTTTTTTATTTACAGACTTATAAGCTAGCAATTAGAGATTTAACTACAGTTATCAACATGGACAAAAAAAATTATATATCATTTTACAACAGAGCGATATGCTACACGAAGATAGGAGAACTTCAAATGGTAAGAGTCTAGTGAACAACACATTTAAAACTTTTAATAAACAACATACATGCAATTGTTAAGTTTAGTAATCAACAGATATTAATAACATGCTAAGCATTAGTGAAACTTGTGTAACATGTTTTTTAATTTCTGCTATGATTTTGAATATTCTATGGAAACACAGACACAATTGGTAAACCAACTTACTGTTTCAAAGAAAATATATATTTCTTTGTGTCAAAGGAAATTGAAAACTAAAGATAGATCCCCTCAAGGAAGCTTTTATTTGGGAATAGAGAAAAGAATTGCAATCTGCGTCTACCCTGCACAAGTTGGAGTGGCTTCTGCTATGTCCAGAGGATAAAAAAGATATTATGGATTTCTTTAGGACAGGGATATCTGGGCAAGTTATTTTACATATAAGCTTGTTGATACTTTCAGTGTTTGTGGGAGCTGGTGAGCACTGACTGTTAGCATCAGGTGCTACGTATAACTGGGCTAGTCTTGGATTATGGGTGGTGGTTTCATTATCAGTTGCTACACAAAATTAGTCTTAAGGCTGTGTCAGGCTGCTTTGTTGGATTATTTCTGTAAGATTGCTCCTGGAGCAAACATCCATGACCTGAATATCTTTCCTTTCTATGAACTTTGCTTTCTGCTTTAGTGGTTTGTGAGAGGAATGACTCCCTTTAGTATAATGGACTTTGTATTCATCAAATTTTCTTATGCAGTTTCTGTCATAAATTAAGTGAGAAATTAATTTTGCATTGCTTATGTGAACATTTAAGGGCATGCATAAATTAAAATACATTATATGATTAATCCTTTGAGTCATTGTTTCTACTGGTACTTTGTTTGCACAGTTTTAAGGCAGTCATTGCCACCAGTACTATTGCTTTATTTTGATATTAGCTGTGGCAGTTCTTAGAGGTATTTTTGATTTCTGGTGCAGTCCTCAGACCACACATGCATGGCATGGGACCTCTAAGGGTTGTCCAGCATTGGCCTGTAGATTTCAAAGCCTCGCTATGGCTGCAGCACAATCTTTTTTTTTTTTGGAATTTAAAAAATTTATTATTATTATTATCATTTTATGATACAGTTCCATAGGTTCCTGGGAATTCCCTTATCCCCTCCCCTATCCCCCCACACATACTTTCTCTATATAATTACTAAAGTATAGTTCTTTATACACAGTCATATGTCCATCATTGCGGGCATGGACAATGACAGAGAGTCCAGCATCCTATTGTCAAGATATAGTGAACAGGTTCATTGTAAGTGCGTTTTTGTCTGGAAGTGGAAATGCATACTACATTGTATCCTCACATCTGGATATGTTAGTCTCCATTTCACTGTTGCTGTACATCCCTTAAATGAAAAATCACAATACAAAATCAACACTAGGAAGAAAAATAGAAATTTACAATCCCATGAAGTTAAATAACATGTTACTAGATATGACAGTCTCCATTACACACTATACATCCCCTTAAATGAAAAGCCACAAAACAAAATAAACAGCCAGAAGAGAATGGGGAGTGACATATTCCAGATGCTAAAAGCAAAAAATTGTTTGCCTAGGATACCGTAACCTGCAAAGCTTTCTTTTGTCTTTGAAAAGGAAATAAAATTCTTCCACAGTAAAGAAAAGTTAAAAGGATTTGCCTCTTCCAAACTTGCCAAAAAGAATACTTAAAGATGTTCTCTTGACAGAGAAGAGGAATAGCACCCAGTGAAACCAAAGGCAAATGTAAAGAACATCCCAGTAAAATGACAACAGAAGACTAAATCAGTGAAGAACCCATTCCTAAAATGACAGGATCAAATTATCACCTATTTGTATTAACCCTGAATGTAAATAGTTTAAAGTCATCAATCAAATATCATAGATTAGTAGACTGAATTAAAAAACAAAACCCATCTATTTGTTGCCTACAGGAGACACCTTTCACCAACAAAGATCAGCGGAAGCTATATCTCATGGATTTTGATTGTTTTGTTAGTTTCATCTCTTCAAAACACCTTCTTCTGATTAAATTCTTCACTGACTCATAGATCATACAGTAGCATCATTTTCTTTTTTTCCCAATTTTTTAAATTAGATTTTAGGCAATCTTTACATAGTTAATTAGGGTAAAAAGGTTCAAGGGCTACAGGAAAATGGGCAAGACCATCATTTCCATATTGTTTCCATCACGTATTTGAGGTAAAGGGGGATTTTAAGGGAGAAGCCCCACCCAGTCTCCCACCCACCCCAGGTTCCAGATGTGGGGCATGCTCTGAGGGTCTTGATCAAGTGGTTTTGATAGTTCAACAGTTCTGAATTGCTGCCAATCTCGCCATGCCAAGCACCATGAGGTCACTGAAGAATCCAGTGAATGACATAGTCCATCATAGAGTCTCCGTTTGCCCAGTTTTTCACAGCCAACATGTAGCTGAGCTGGTTAATTGACTTGTTCTGTCCTCTGTCTTTTCATGGTTAGGGTTCTGAGTCTAGTAGTTCGATTGTGGGATCTTTAAAGTGAGAAGACTGGTTGGAACATTTTGGGATCCTGGTGGCTCTAAAATAACTAATGTTTTATTATCAAAAATGTTGCACCACTTTATTCAGGCATTTTCAGCTCTGTGCTGTGGTCAGGGAACGCAATGGAGGATGGCCCAAAGCCTTGGGACCCTGAACCTGCGTGGAAGACCCAGAGGAAGTTCAAGCATTTTTTCTATAGCAAATGCACTTGGACATTCTCTCCAGCTATAGTTGCACAAAAACTGGGCAAAAATGAGTTCCATTTGTACTACTTATTAATAAAAACAGTAATAGTTATCACTTATCTATAGTGTATCGTGTGACAAAGATTGTACTAAATGCTTTATAATAAGAATATTTCAATTACAATTCTTATGTGTTGAATTATATAGAGCATTTTAGTGTCCTTATTTTGTAGACATGGAAAGTGAGGTTTAATTGAGAAGCCAGTACTGATAGTTGAGCTGTGATGTATTCCATGAAATGTCAAGGTCTAGATTCATCCTCTAAATGAAAACCTCTGAGCTCCCAACCCCACACCCCACCCTCAACTGGTTGCAGTTTTAACTTGATGAAATTACTGTGGGGGTGGGGGAGGGGCAGGGATAGAGTGTTAGGTTCTTCCTTTGCAAAGCACGTTAAGGTAAAGATGTGTACAGTGACCTGTCAATAGCATCTGAAATGCAAGGGTTATCCAGGACCAGATTAGCAGGTAAAATGTTGCTTAAGAGGCCTATGCCCAGCCTTAAGTGCTTAGATTCAATGTCCCCCTGCAGCTCTTGTTTCTGTTTCCTGTTTTACACTCTTAGAAACAGCACCGAAGGCCCAAGTGATCAGAATTCTGCCATTACGTGGGAGACCTGCATGGGTTCTTGGCTCTTAGGTTCAGCCAGGTTATTCCTAGTCACTGTAGAAATTTGGGGGGTGGACAAGTGGATGAGAATTACCTTTATCTTTGTACTCATCTTTATTTCTCTCTGCGTTTCTCAAGTAGCAGTATTATAATATTTAGCAGAGGGGGGACCCTTTTAATCTAACAAATGATTACTTTGTTCTCGAATTCTAAGTCAGATTAATGAACTGCCTATGAGATGTCAGTTTGAGTAGAAACACGTTTTATCTCACAAATGAAGTAAGGCTCTGTGGAATCAGATATAGGTTGCGTGTGATTGTTTTCTTTCTAGGCATTGACAGATTATGGTGTCGTCCTCCTCCTCGATCCTGGAGAAACTATAACATTAAATACCTTCATTAATCGTGGATGTATCTATGTGGAACTAGGGCAGCACTGCTTTGCAGTAGAGGTAAGCCTTCCTGGAGATTTGTAAAAGTGAACACACTTGTACATCCACTTCTGAAAACTAGTAGATGTATCTTTATTGCTATCCAACGTCAATATTAATGAGTGGTAACTTTGGCAGGACTTATATTGGAAATTTGAATAACTAACAAAAACCTTACAAATAATAATTGGGAGTACACATGGAATTCAATTTTGTAAATAAAATGAGCTATATTTCACATATGCTGCTACATAGTGTTCCTTCTCATTCGCAATTATGTTTTTTTCCCTATTGAAAACATAACAAGTCTACATACGCTGCTTGGAGCATTGGCTTCTAATTTAGTAGGGATAGATATCCTTAAGGATAATAGAAGGAAATGCATTTAGTATATTGAAAGTAAACATAGCTTGAAACATTTATTTATAGAATGATTAAAATCTGTGAATCTCATTTTTGACTTTCAAGTTTTGATGTCTAGTTTATGGTGATTTTGGAGTTAAGATTAAGAAGCACATCAAACATGAGATAGCAATCTGAGAAACGTAGTCAAACAATAGGAGTTATACATCTTTGTTACTGAGAAGCTACACAGTAGCATTCTGTCCTTTCACCCTTTTACGTGGCTTGTCTGATTTTCCTGTATTTGGAGTCATTCTTTGATGTTCTGTCCAACAGAATGACTCCTAGGTAGATTGCAACTAGTGTATTTTATGAAGAAATGTAATTTTGACATTTTAATTCTTTTAGTATTTTTTTTTGTCTGTTGGAAATAGCTTTGAGATGCTTAGATATATAGATCACTACAGGTTGCTTCAAGCAGAAAGAGCTAAGGAACCTCTCTGTCTATAATTTAGATAAGAAGCAACAGATCAAGCTATTGCATTCCTTAGCTCCCATCACAGTTAATGAAACCCAAGCTCTTCTATGTGACTAACTTGATCTCTTTGCTTCCCACCCCTTGAACTTGATGGTGAAGCAGTCTTCTGTTGTCTCCACTGATCATTCCACTCTGGTCTCAAGCTGCTTCCTAGAAATTCAGCTCCTTCCCTTCCTGGGACCTTTTTATAAGATGTTCCTGACTGATTTGTTAATGATCCATGTCCTCCTTTCTTTTAGCCTTTAAGCTCAAATGTGACCACAGTCATAAAGTAAACAAATTGAAAGGGAATATTGAGTGTTAAAAGAATCTGACATAATCTGAAAATTGTTAATGGAGAGAAATAGAGGCTATCACCTGAAAAAAATGGCAGATCCAAATTCAACAGTATTAATAGTTACTTTAAATTGGAATGTCAAAATACACCAATCAAAATAATGAGAATGTCAGATTTAAATTTTAGAAAGCTCCAACTGTATTCTGACTACAGAAACACACTTTAGGTATGATTTCATACACTCATTTATATGTAGACATGAAATAACAAATTTTTTGAAGAGATGGAAACGAATGCGATCAAGAGCCTTACCTCTGACACAGCAAGGTAGTGGGAGTGGAAGTCATTACAGGGTGCTTGAACATGAGCAGGTGTTTGGCACAGTGCCTAAGATGTCACTTGGGATTCCTGCATCCCATGCTAAAGTACCTGGATTTACATCTCAGCTCTGTTCTTAATCCCAGCTTCCTACCTTGGGAAGTATAGTGGTTCAAATATTGAGTTCTGCCATTCAGCCATCTGGGGGCCTTGTACCCATCTCCCAGCTCCTGCTTTTTGTGTGGCACTGACCAGGCTGTTTCCAGTGTTTGGGAATGAGCCTACAGATGCAATTTCTGTATGTATGTGTCTTTTGGTTTTTCTGCTTTTCAAATAAATAAATAAGCAAATAAGCAAAAACCCTGTTTTTTTTTTAATAAGAAATTCTTGATCAGCGGGGGGAATAGGTTTGGAGGGAATTTTTATTATGCATAAGTGATTTTGTGTGGTTTTGTGCTATCTCTGGTTCTCATATGAGAAAGATAATTAATGTAGGAGAAAAAAAATCACTAATGTGTCTATTATGAATAATATTGAGTCATCGTTGATATCCACTGCTAATAATGACTAATTACCACATAGCATGAAAATGATTCTGTTCTTTTTTTTTCAAGATGCTATTTTTACTTGAAAGAATTATAGAGAGTAAGACAGAGATTGAGAGAGAGAGAAAAAGAGAAAGAGAGAGCAAGTGAGGGGGAGAGAAGAGAGAGAGACACAAAGAGAGGCCTTCCATCTGCTGATTCACTTCCCACATCCAGAGTTGTTCTGGTCTGAAGTTGAGAGCCAGGAGCTTCTTTCAGGTCTCCCACGTGGGTGGAGAGGCCCAAGAACTTGGGTTGTCCTTTACTGCTTTCCCAGGCTATTAGTAGGGAACTGATACACAAATGGGATATCAACATTGCAGGCAAAGGAGTAGCCTGCACCATGCTGGCCCATTAATTGTGTTCTTCTCCATCCAGCTAATTCCATATACTATCTAAATATAGTTCATAAATCTAAATGGGAAGTTCATGTTTACAGTTTGGTGTAAGACTAAACATTTTTCCTCAAGTAGGATTCCTGAATGCTCCACTTGGCCCAGCCACTCTTAGCCACCCCAGCAATAACAGAGAACTCATCCTACCACTATAATATTCTTCCTCTGCCTGTGATACAACCAGGGAGGGTTGTTGAAGGAGGATGGTGATATAGAGGGTCAGAAATTGGATGGAAGTAGCTCCTGTCATTGGGACTGCAGAGTGCCAAGCAGCTTGCTTGCATAGGAGTTTCTGCCCAGCTTTGCTCGATCAATGAGGCCAGAGTAAAACTGCCAGTGAGGAGTCCTGCTGAAGCAGAGTTCTGGGGAAAAGCCAGGGTCATTTTATATTTCTGCATCAGTTCTGAACTGTTTCCTTATGAAGGCCTTTCCCATATTATAAGCAATCCTTCAAATCTAGTGTGTTGTCATTGGGTCATTGGGTCATTGGCAGAATATTTTGATTTGTGGATAGTTATTTAGGTGAATTTTTTTAAAAAGTTATCTTTTAGTTCTGTGATATTCTTATTTTATTTCATGTCTCAGATGTTTTTGCAGGAGTTTGAAAAACTTGCAAGCTTCAGACATGGCTCAGATGCCAAAGAAAATGTTCTGATTGCTAATAGTAGGATCTCTCACAGGCTTAGCGTTTTTAATTCTTTCAAAGAGCTTCTTTTCCAAGGCTGTTCCAATCCCTCCAAGCTGATTTCCCTAACTTCCCAGTTTAGGATTCCTCAGAATTCTTGTTCTTCCCTCTGAGGGTGTCTTTTGGATTTGTGAATACAACCATGTGCTTCTCACTGGAAATGTGGAACAGCTCAGGCCCAGTCAGGCTCTTTCCCAGCTGGGCACCTGTTGGCCCTGTAGTCATGTCACTACCAAGGTTCCCTCCAGAGGAGTTCCCTTCATCGTCCAGATGTGGAATTTCTAGTTGGGTTTATTGGGAATCAGCAATTTAGCAAAAAAAAAAAAAAAAAGAAAAAGAAGATGATGATGCTTCAGTTGGCACATGGCAGGGCAAAAGCACCGGAAAAGTCCCTGTTGGCCAAGTGAAGACGAGCAGCAGGAAGCTCAGAGGAAGGAGACAGTCCTGGGGTTCCCAGCTCCGTCGTTTTCCTCTAGATGTGGTTTGGTAAGGAAAAGGTGCGTCTTCAGAAGATGTGTGTTTTAGTCACGATGGAATCAAAGTTAGAAGGAAGTTGAAGAAAGCACGTGGGGTGATATTGTGCCATTAATGAAAACTTGTGCAATCATTTCAGGATTTTAAACAGGCTGCACTGATGAGCCAGACTGATGTGTATCTTCGTCAAGCTGCTGCTGTGTGCCACCACAGGTATGGAGCACCACAAAACACAGGCACGTGTCCAGTCACGGACATCAGGGAAAAGGTTGGAGAGGTGATGTAGTAAAAAGTAGGGAGAGATGAAAAAATTCTCTGTGGACCCTATCTAGTGTGCTATAGTTATCCTTTCATCTCCCCATTAGCTATGTTAGCCAAATTAGCAAGTAACTAATGGTATTGGGAAAGTCTCTGACTTAAGCCCACACACCAGGAAAGGATTTACAAAACCCATTTCTTGTAAAAGAGGGAAATATTTCAAAATATATTTTCAAGAAAATTCTTCATTTAAAAAACCCATAGTTATAGGTTCAAGGCTAAAATAATATCAACAGATGTATGTAAAATACAATAAAACCTACATGAAACATCATATGGCAAACATTATTAATGGCATGAGAGTACTAGAAAAATTTATAGATGGGAACTATTACACAGGACTAAACTACAGATGACCAGTGTACACTGCGCTCACATAAATTATGGTAAACAGACATTGTCACCCTTACTGTACATGTGTACATTACATTGACATATATAAATTTGGTTTTGGCTTCTTGCTTTTAAAGACGTAGAGAGTCAGCATATGAGGATTTTTCTAACTTTCATTTTAAAATTTTATACATCAAATATAAATGTATTTGATTAATAAGTAGTCATTTTTTTCATAAAAGAAACAGTAACAGTTAATTTGGAGGGGGACAATAAGCTAATTCATATATTGTGCACAAATGCTGTATAATAGGGAATAAAACATAGCTTGAATTATGCAAGAAATTAACATTCTTTTCCCTTTTAGGATATACATAGTACAGCTATACTTTCCTCTGAGAGTTAGATTTTTTAAATTAGTATTTAATGAGCAAACTAACAGTAACTAGAACTTCTGGAGATGCTTTTGAATGAAAAGGCGTGTAGTGGTCTTCGAGCTTGCATTGTACATAGAGAACAAAACATAGTCACAGCTTCCTGTCACAGTCCAGTGATCTTCGTAAGATGCGTTTATTCAAGCAATTGTAATTTCCAAGAAGAAATGGAACAACAGGGGCTGATGTGTTTGTTTTGGTGGGTGGCTATAGACCCCAAATACCTGAGGTTGTTGTATTCTGTTAAAACTTGACTCTGCAGTTTCTCTCTGCCTTCCTGCCATGTTTAGGTACTATTAAAGGCACGGCGTCTGTGTGTCAGCTCAGTCTCTTTTATGAAATGCAATCACTGGGTATATACAGCAGAGCCTCCTTAAGCTGCTTCTGCTTTGCAATTCCAAATAACCAACCTTCATCACCTGACTAGATCTCTATTGTTCTTTAATAAAAGTAGAATCTAATTCAACAAGGGAGTCCTGGAAACTCACAGTCTCCCCCCAGCCCCATGCCACATGTTTTTACTTTTAACATTTTACTGAGTTTCGCATTGAGGATGAGTGGTGGATGATTATATTTCTTTCAGGAAAAAAATGTTTCTTGCTCTTCATGATGAGCTATGGCATATTTACATCACAGAAGCCTGGTTTGTAATGATGGGGACTCGCGTCTTCTGGTGCCTTTCAATGAGGAAAGCAAAAATTGTCTTGTTTGGAAACATTTTTTAAAAGGAATAAATCTTTAAATTTTAGGGCTTTGATCTTTGAACTCATGGGGTTACTTTTGAAGTATTCTTTGTATATCTCTGGTTCCCACTCTTGTCGTTGCTAGGAGACAACATTCCTTGAGCTGAATATCCTACTTGTTGCCCAATTTAGTCACCAAGAGTGTTATGGTAGAGTTAATTTTTAGATCCCCTTGAGATAGTCACCCTCCTATATATTTTTTTTTAAATAACATCACAGAGGGATGTATCCTACCCACTTTTTCACTTCAGCACATTTGATATTTTTGTATTTGCATAAGATACTTTAAAATCTTTAACCCTGCAAGTCACATTCCTTAGTCTTCTGGAGGTATTTCTGATTTATTTGTACAACTCAGTAGGGCACATCTGGTCACGTATGTGATTAATGTGGAGAATGCCATGGACCTCTGTGTGTGTGGCCTCGCAGGCAAGCTCAGCCCATGATTCACTGTTAGCAGGACCCGGTGTGAGAATTGTGGAGCAAGTGATCATATTACTGCAGATTTATACAGACATGGCTCACTTAGAAATCTCAATTACTGTACTTTCATATCTGTGGAAAGTGATGTGTTATCATTTTTGCCTCGATGTTGCCTCCGTGTGTGTTCAGTCCCATTGTCTCACCAGCCAAATGCTATGTGCTGGCTTAACAAGCATCAGCATGTAGGACACTGTGGTAGGCACATGCTAAGGAAATGAAAGTGATATTTTTGTTGTCATATCTTTTTTTTGCTTGTTTTTGGGTGCAGGCAGCTGGAACGTGTCTTCAGCACTGTCACCTCTGGACGAGATTTTAGTCATTAAGAGCTTTGAGAAGTGTATTAGGTAGCTTTGAAGATCCTTTTTCAGCTGAAAAGTTGATCATTCACTTTGATCACTATAAGTGTACAATGTAGGTGAGCACTTCAGAAGCACTGAACGCAACTAAACCAGTTATTTTTGGTAAAGAGTTTGTCTTGCTAAGTTTGTAATTATTGCAATCATATAATAATGTAGTTAGAAGGCACCTGGAAAGATACTCCACAAACATTAACTTTTCAAGATGTGTTGGTTATTGAGAGAGGAACCCAATTTCGTTGCAAAGTGCTTAAGGGAAATGATTCCATCCATGTTCTCTGAGTACCTACAGAGGCTGCTGAAATGGTGCTCGCAGGGTTAGGTACATGAGTGTTAACCTTTGCCTCTGTAACATCAGAAGCCAGGGCTTTCTTTTTTTAAGTGTTTCACTGTTGATACTGTGCTGCTCGTTTAGCAAAATACTTGAAGTATATCTTTGGGTGTTACCTATGAAAACATCAAGAAAGAATCCTGAATACTTCAATTGTTTTTCACATAAATTTAAAAAATACTTGTTAAATTATTTGAGGCCATTGTTGTAGACTGAGATCCTATACTGGTACCGATAGACCAGACCAAACCAATCTGGAGTTGCTTATGCCAGATACCGCAGAGTCAAACCGAGACTTTAAGGAAGCAGATGAATCCCCAAACAGTTGTTTTCCCTAAAACAGGAGCTCCCATTTTAACTGAGACAGCATAACAAGGAAGTCACCGCCAGATTACCTGTCCTTTTTCCCTCTTGTTCTGTTTCCCTCTTACAAATCCCACTGCTCTCTCGTTTCCCAGTGGAAATTAGTAACAAGTCAGTGTACTGACAAGGGTGATGGCGAATGGTGTCAAAATTCAAAGTTTTGATCAACCTGTCAATTTTGACCAAACTCAAAGTTACCACTGTATTCAGTGAACTATAACTTAACTTAATGTGTAAACAGTTTTGAGATATAAGCAGCTGAGCTCTTTCTATCTGATTTCCATGTTCTGGAAGCCAACTGGATATAAATGTGACCTGCTGTAGAAGGAAGAGTTCTGAAACATTTTTGGCCTCTACTGCTGGCCTACTCTAGAATCATAGATAAAACCAATCAACATCTCCACAACTAGATATGTTGTGACTTTCTCTTTTGACGTGTGGAATTAATATTCCATTTCAAAGTAAGTTCTTAACCCCCTGAGCACATCATGGGGAAAGTCTAAGCTTAGCAGTAGTCCCTGACCACTTTCTCTAACAGCATGTGTAGCTCTCTGGTTTAGCATTTGGTAGACCATACTCTTCAGCTCTAGTTCTATTTATGTACAGGGATGCCTTCTATCTTTTGAATATAAAATATGGATTTTTCAACAATTGATTTGAAATGATCTCTTTGAATAACTTTAGTTGACTGAAAAAGGGGGTTAATCTGAAGAAAATATTCAGTAGGTGGTAGTGTAGCTAGAACAGGGTGCATTTCATGAAAGAAGGACTGAAGTCTGGGAAAGTGCTTTAGGGGATACTCTGGAGTAACATCTATGAGATCATCATTTCCAGAATAGTTATTCTGGGAAAAACATGGGTGAAATACTGAGATGTCTATGAAATCTTTGAAACATATTTGGGAAGTACTGAAAAGAGTGGATGGCAGATCATGGTCTTTACTGAGCAGGTGTCTCTGTGTTAGGTCCGCTTCTCTGATCTTCTCAAACAACCTTGAAAGTTGATGTTCTTAAAATTAGTATTAATTTGCAGATTCAAGCTCGTCTCTGTACTCCAGGCTTTCCTCCTGGCTGCACAGTTGAAATGCTAGTTCAGACTCCTCTGCACTACCTGCAGAGTGTCACCGGTGTGCAGTGTGTGTGCTAGGTGTGGATCCTTTTAGAGTTGGGCTGTTGGAGTAAGGCTGACCTCAGTTGGAATGCCGGATATTTATTCTGTGTGAAGTCAGATCACTATTTATTTTGCCATTTCCTATGTGCAGACTGTTGGGTTATGAATTATGTTCCATCCATAAAACATGGACAATTATAACTAACCTATTTGTTGGGAAAATAAAGCAAAATACCATACACAAGGCACTCAGTATAGTACCTGGAAAAATAAACATCTACTCAAGGTTAGTTTCCTCCTTCTGCTACAAATATTTTTAAAAACCTGGAGTCTCATATGTCCATTAAAAGCATAATATTATGCATGTGAACGTGAAAAAATCACTGTATGACAGATAGCAAATATTTGATTATTTTAATGGCTCTCACCCTCACCACAAAAGAATAATTAGGGAGAAAAGAGTTATTTAGCCACATACATCCACATATTAACATACAGAACACATTTTCTTTCTCGCCTTATACTGCCTTTATTGAAGTTCTAAAGGAGACATTCACATGTGATGCAGCTTTTATTTCTTTAATTGTATAAGGAAATGCATCAAAAAATTCTTTGCTCTCTTTGAAAGTACTCCCCCTTTCTGATTTTAACTTCTTGGTATCAGTATGACACACTGGGGAAATTTGCTGTTTGATGCTGCTGGTGAGTCATTGTTGCTTCTAGAAAGGGGGAAACTATTTGT